AGCGAAGTCACACCGCTCACCGTTTAACTCTAATGGAGTTGTTAAACGCGCCACCTCTCCCTTGTCAAAAGTGCATTCAGATATCTGTGGTCCACTACCTGTGTCTAGCCTTACCGGTTGTCGCTACTTCTTGATCTTCATTGATGACTTCTCTCGATTCATGTTCACCTATCCAGTTAAGCAACTTTATGAGTGCTACGAAGATTTCAGGAAGAAAGCCCTGAACATTTTTAGGCAAGACATCTCTGTCATTGAATACACATTCAGCGTTGAAGAAGATGTGACTCAGAGCAATTTTGAAGTTCAGAGACTTCAAGCAGATAATGCGAAATAATACGAGAAGCTCGGTCGCATCATCTTTAAGAAGTATGGGACTCACGCTCAATTTACCAATGCATATACTCCTCAGCAAAACGGAGTTGCTGAACGACGCATGCGCACCATCATGGAGCGTGATCGAGCCCTTCTACTTGACGGCAAACTACCCAAGCAGTTGTGGGCAGAGTGTGTCTGTCACATGACCACTCTGATCAACATGACACCCAGCTCCAAGACGGACGGCCGAACCCCGTACGAGCTCTGGTACAACCGCACTCCATCCATGCAGTACATCGAAGTTTTCGGATGTAGCGGATATGTCCACATAACGGAGCAATATCGAGACAAACTTGATGCTCGAGCCCGTTTGTGCATGTACCTTGGTGTACCCGACCACAAGAAAGGATATCGATTGATGGACATCAATACGCATGCCATTGTATACAGCCGCGATGTAGTCTTTAATGAGGACGAATTCCCCCCTCTCACTGGCCTGACGATTACACCAGTGTCAACACAGAACACGAGCACTCAGCTACCTGAACCTACAACTGCTAGTGCATCTGAGCCTGAGCCTGAACCTGAGCCTGAATCTGAACCTGTGTCAGTACCAGCCCCAATATCGTCATCTACCTCAGGACCTGCAATGACCACTGCACCAGGCACAGGGAACAAACGTGTACTGCCCTCATTGAGGAAGGCTATTGATCGAACAGTCATGCATCACTCGTTTCGGTCGGAGACGGACTCTAATCCTCCGCAACCTTCAGCTCCTAAGCGACCCCGCCTTACTGCGGAAGCTACCGACCCATCCCTCACCTCAGAGGAATATACCGTCGTAACCCTCAACTCTGAGGAAGACATCCGTGAACAGGAGCAACGTCAGCATTTACTGTACATCTTACTTAGCTATTCGGTATGTGTCAGAGCCCACTACGTACCGGGAGGCTATGAAGTCTTCCCACGCTAATCAGTGGCATAAAGCAGCTAAATCGGAATACAAGTCCCTCATGGACAATAACACTTAAGTGTTGGTAACCCCTCCAAATGGACGGAAGGTCCTAACTAGCCGATGGGTCTTTGTAGTGAAGTATACCGGCACAGGCGAAATCGACCGCTATAAAGCGCGTCTAGTGACCAAAGGATTCCTACAGAAATATGGCATCGACTACAATGAGATTTTCTCTCCTGTCATCAGGATGGAAGTACTCAGACTACTGCTTACTGTACCAGCTCTTCTTGACCTTGAAGTCCAACAAATGGATGTGAAGACAGCATTTCTCGACGGCTATCTTGAAGAAGAAATATACATGGCTCAACCGGAAGGATTCCAAATCCCGGACAAGAAACATCTTGTATGCAAACTCCTGAAGAGTCTTTACGGGTTGAAGCAAGCTCCCCGAGTCTGGTACCAAACTCTGTCTGCCTTCCTTAAAAGTCTTGGATTCTTAAAACTGATCAAAGATCGTTGTGTTTTCCGACGTACGGTTTCCGGAAACACATGCTACATTGCTGTGTACGTCGACGATCTATTGATCATAGCACCCACGCCAGCTCTCGTACAGGAGCTTTAATCCGCCCTGAAGAAGAGATTCTCCATGACCGATTTAGGGAGGTGAAGTACTTACTCGGCTGGTCCATTCAGCGTGACCGTAAGAACCGAACGATATTTATCCACCAGCACAAGTACGCTGCGAAGGTCCTTGACCGCTTCAGCGACTACATCCCTTATCCAATTGCAACACCAGCAGACCGGAACGTTAAACTCTCCGAGAACAGCCAGCCTAGCAGTGAGTCAGAGAAAGATGCGATGAAAAACATTCCGTATCGCCAAGCCGTAGGCAGTGTCATGTACTTAATGGTAGGCACTAGACCCGACATGGCATTCTACATGCGTGAAGTCAGTCAATTCCTATCTAATCCGGGAATAGAGCACTGGAAAGCAGTCATTCGCGGACTCAAGTATCTGTCAGGAACCAAAGACTATGGTCTTCTTCTGGGAGGCTCGTCCGACATCACACGTGAGAACCTCGCTGATAATCTGACAGCTTACAGTGACTCGGACTATGCCAACTGCCCTGACACAAGACGTTCTGTCGGCGGTTACGTTACTATGGTAGCGCGCAGTCCAATCTCATGGCTTTCACGAAAACACCACACTGTGGTTCTCTCTACAACAGAGGCAGAATATATCGCCCTGTGTCACTGCATGCAAGAGATGATATTCCTCAAACTCCTCCTAGAAGAACTCGGTTTTGCCACTACTCAGGCCAATACTATTTACGAGGACAATCAGAGCTGTACTAAAATTTGCTACAACCCCGAACTACACGGACGATCAAAGCACATTCACGTCAGATATTGCTTTGTGCAAGAAAAAGTAGAGCGACACGAATTCACCGTCACTTATTGCAATACAAAAGAGATGATAGCTGACATCTTCACGAAAGCTTTAGATAAGTATCAGTTCAGAGAACTAAGGGCCAAGCTCAGGTTAAAACCCCTGAAAGCTGGATTCGGCCACTATATGTAGAGTTACTACGATAATATAACTGCATGAAGCGTGTCTACCAATCGCGTTCTTTTTAGTTTTTTTTTCCCACTGGGTTTTATCTTTTTGTTCGCACAAGGTTTTCCCTCGTTGAGGTTTTCCTGGTCAAGTACCGAATTATCTAGACACATGAGTTCATAAACAAATCACCATGCATAAGGCATTTATTTGCTGGGAAAATTCATTATCGGTTAGGCAAACCCGCGGGAATCCTACCGACTCCTATCGTCTACTTAAAGACCTTGAACGGACGAAAAAATGCATAGAAGTTGATCCAGCGCTTCGCGGACGAGATCGGTTTACCTTCCTTTAAGTCGTAGATGAGGTGCTTGGTTCCTTGAACAGTCAGCACTGCTGCATGACCGATGTGGCGGTGATTGTAGGCTCCGACAATGTAGATACCGTCGTCAACCGGTATTACCTCCAAAACCTGAGCACCACGCCGTCCTGGAATCGCATGGTTGTGGTGGCAATCTGGTTGTAGGCGAAGTCGCGACCAGCATCTCGAAGTCGACCCAGAAAGCGAAGTACAACCTTCCATCTTGCACCCTGCCTGAGGTCACGTCCGTAGAGAATGAGTTCATCGTCGACAAACTGGTCGATATCCTGCTGCGTGACGATATCTGGCCTTCCTGCTAGTTCTGAGGCTCGCCTCAAAGCGTTAAACACGCATAAACAGTCTTCGTCTGCTCCAATCAATCCCATGCCGACGTCATCTTCTCTCCAGAAGGTCTCAAACAGTGGCACCTCCGAGGCCTTCCAGCTGTCGACGAGGTCCATCTCTCCTTCGAAACCGTCCTCCATAAGTTTAGCTCTTGGTTCCCATGAGCGCATATAAAGCTTTTTGCAGGATCTGTCAGGATGGACCCAAAGCACCTGGTACTCTACTCTCATTGGCCCGTCGCGACGATAATTGAGGTATGCCACCTGCCAAACCTCAACGGTGGTGACCAACTTGCTGTCAAGAGTGATGTCCCGACCAGTATAGTATTCTCCTGATATCGGATAATATAACTGGTTGGTCGCAGTAGTCGTACAGTCGGTCACATTGGACGCAGAGTCGGTTGCAGTAACCACACTGTCAGTTGTAGCAGACGATTCATCGATTGTATCGTCGTTGACCGTATCACTGGTGACTTGGTCAATTACGGTCATGGCACGGTGCAATGCGCAACTCGCATATCGAGTTTGCGACTCAGTGTTGTTAAACGTACAAATTCTACACACCCATGTCTCGTACACACAGTCTGTCGTTCGTTTGGTATCACTAGACATCTGATCGGTGACAGTAGTCCGTTTGGTATTACTAGTCGGTTGGTTGGTGGCTGATTTTCGGTCGGTACCGCTAGACAAACGATCGGTGGTAGTAGACCAGTCGGTGGCACTATTTGGATGGTCAGTGGCCTCCCTCGTCTCGGCTACAACCTGTAGAGCCTCCAGCGGCGTCTTCACGGCCTCTGTTGAAGCTTTCTTTGCTGTACAAGCCTCAAACCCAACTTCTGTATGAGCTGCATACTCTGGTACAGTGGTAACGGCCAGGCCGAGCACCGATCGGACTTCCCGAGTCGTAGTGAGCACCTCCCAGGTGTCACTGGCTTCTGAAGCACCTCTGTCAGTAGCTACCACGTCCCCTGAAGCCTCCGAGGCTGTGGGCGCTGCGCCTGAGTCAGGAGGGACGTCCGCTGAGCGAGCGGCGGCTCGAGCCTTCTTCGTAGCCCGCAACTTCGCTGCTGAAACATTCTTTCTCCTCCGCTTCTGCCTAGCAACAGCAGCAGTAATTGTTCTTATCGGGCACAGTCTCGGAGTTCCTCCCCTGTGGGCGTGTCGCTCGTTGTCCTTCTTCCCTTGCGGGCAAGTTGGAGCAGCAACCGTGCGGCTTCCCTGGGGGGCGTTTCCAAGACTGAATGGAAATTTTCATTCAAAATTTAACCTCCTATATCACATACACTAGTCATATGTGATAAAGATGTTAGGAGACAGGGAGGCTGTTGAAGTTGCCTCCAAACATGATGATTACTCTCAGTTAAAACCTCTCAGAACTATTATATGTAGATCTAACAGGTCCTTTCTAACTTGCTACAGCCTATTGTCGCTATACTTATAGTGAGCACCAGTCCACTAATGATTGGTTTGTAGCTAGATGACGCCTTAACTTTAATCAGCCTCACTTCGTCTTTTGACGACAAGCTAAAACAACTACTTCTCTTCTTCTATCTCTCTTCTCTACCGACTCAACTCATCTTAGGGTACAACCCAGGCGGTGGTGGCACCTCTGCATTGGCATGAGACGTGGCCGAGGGTGGTGAGGAAGCCGAGTCTTTGCCCGCAGCAGGGTTGTTCGTGTTAATCCGAGGTTGCTGGTGCGGGCGAATGTTTGTAAGGTGTCTTCGACTGGGTGCTTTCATACCCATGAATTAGTAGGATCTTGGCGGGGTGCGAACTTAAGATGCGAACTTAGTCGAAATCCCGAATTTATTAGCCTTGAATTCGGTCGATCAGAGTGATTACTCTAATTCCGAAACTGTCACGTAACTTGTCTGGAAACACGAATTGAGTCTTCCAACTGAGGTCGATGAAGGTCAAGTGTGTAGTTGTAGGCGAAATGAAGACTGATTGAGTTTAAGTTAAAGAAAATGAAGTGGAAGAGCTACTAACCGTTACCTAGAGGTGCTTCTGAAGGAAGCGTGCTGGTCCGTTGCCAACGGACGTGAGATGGAGCTTGTTGGTCCAATTAATGACAGATGTGGTCTCGCATACGTTACAGTTTAAGCACTGTTTTTTTTTTGCAATACCGGAGTGCTTTGTCGAGGCCTACTTATTGTTTTTTTTACTGAATATATATTTGTTGGTTCTTCCTTTCCAATTTTTTTTAGTGAGCTATCTACATGCGCCAGTTAAAATAGACGATGACTCGACATTAGTATGCTATCTCTACGAAGCATGAACCTTCGGTCAGTCGGAGTTGAGTGTATGTAAGTAATCTGAGGGCACTACATGTACCTTACGTCCATGACGATAACAAAGCTTTAGTCGCACAAAATCCAGAGATGTTTCGAGCGAAGCGCGGCTTTGTCAACAGGAATTATTTACAAGGTTTGAGAAACTTGAGTAATTTTGGGTCCTTGAGTATAAAAAATTCTACAGTAGTTTTGCTCGCCTTCTAAATCTCTGGAAAATATAGAATTAAGCAGAACTTATTTTATTTTATTATTACTTTCGGACCAAAACAAAAGTTCATCAACATACGTTAGGGTGATGCGGCAGTGCCAGATTGCCCCATCAACAAGGTCTATTATGCTCCAGTAGCTTATATTAACAGACGTGTGCAATTTTGAACTTTGCACTCAATCTAACCACCACCATTCAAGCAGTGGCGTTTCCCAACAACTTCAACGCATACCAGTTCGAGAGCTATGGCCCGATGGACAAGACCCTTTCGATCCACTCTGACGTGCCACAGATGCCAATTGGTTCCAACCAAGTGCGCATCAAGATGCACAGTGCTTCCGTGAATCCCATCGACTACATGATCTTGGAATCCGCTGGAGAGGCATTTCTGAAGCGATCTCCATCGGCGGACAAGCCATTTACAATCGGCATGGATGGCGCTGGAGAGGTTGTGGAGGCTGGTAGCGATGTTCAAAACCTGAAGGTGGGCGATGCTGTCTACACGATGCTGCCATTCACAAGCTTCGGAACGCTCGCCGAGTATGCGAGGAATTTGTTGCGAGGAAACCGAGCAACCTAAACGTCGACAAGGCAGCGGCCGTGCTTCTCGTAGCGCAGACCGCCTACCAGGGTATGTTTGAGCGCGCCAAACTGCAGAAGGACGAGACTGTGCTTATCTTTGGAGGCAGCAGCTTCGTTGGTATGTACGCTGCGCAGTTTGCGCACGCCATCGGTGCCCGTGTGATTACTACAGCCAGCGCCGGCAACGCTGATTCCTTAAAATCTCTTAATGCCAACCAGGTCATTGACTACAGGACGGAGAAGTGGCAAGACGTGGTGGAGCCACACTCTGTTGACGCTGTCTACAACTGCGGCATGGAGAACGCTGCATGGAACGAAGGTGCTCAGAATGTGCTGAAGAAGAACACTGGCCGCTTCGTCACGATCCTTCCGATGGACCAGCCCGTGAAGGAATCTGAGTTTGGGGTAAAGCTAGTTGGCCACGTTCACGTGGAACCCTCGGCTGAAACGCTGCGCGAAATCACCACGTGCATTGAGAGCGGTAAGGTGAAGTCTATCATCGACATGGTCTATCCGTTCGAGAAAAGTGCTAGGAGCTTATGCGAAACTCAAATCTCGTCATGCTCTGGGCAAATTGGTGATCAGAGTCCTCCGGCGTTAACAGAGGGACTGCATAGTTGGCTTACTGCAACTGAGACCTATTGTCTGCAGCTTGCAGTGCATCCGATCGGGTAGTGATGCTGCCTATTGACTATAGTTTGTACCCGCAGCGCAGTGGTCGGGTAGTGATACGGAAGTAATAGCAGACGCCCACTGTTTTTTCGACCAATGTATTGTCACCTTTTGACCTGGAACTTGCAACATTTATAAAGTTTGCGGGTATTGTATGCTTTTTTTTAAGTGGTGAATTGTTAAAACAATCCACTAGCATTACATATTACCGTTTAAAAAGTGGTTAAATTTCGTCTGAATGCCATCCAACGGTTGGAAACTGCCCAATTATGTCGGGTCTATGCAACAACGTTCTGATGATTACCCAATTTATCAGAATCAGATATTGTTCTGTTAGTAGTTCAGTGTACAACAATGCTCCGATCTCGCACATTCGCCGCCCGTATCGCCCGCAATGGACTAGCGCGCATGATCTCCATGGGGGAGGGCATCTCTGGAGCCCCAGTCTGCGTACTAGCCATTCTGGAGCAGCATAAGGCCTTTCTCAGCAGCCTGGATGATGCCGTGTATACCTTCCACAGCCCACTTGTCGAGGGCTCAGTCGGGCAACACACGCGGCACTCGCTAAATCACCTACGCAAGCCACTTGAGCTTCTAGCTGCCCGCCAGCAAGGAAGCGACGAAGATATGGTGCGTTACGACATCCGCGATCGCCATACGCCCGTGGAGAAGGACCGTCATGCGGCTATCCAGCAGATCGAGCAGTTAGAGAAAACGCTACGCGCCATTCCGCAGAGAGACTTGGCCCGCCCAGTGCACGCCGCCTTCATGCTCTCTGCGGACGGCCACGAGTTCGACTTTGAGTCCACATTCAGTCGAGAGCTGGCCTTCGCCGTGCACCACTGCATCCACCACAACGCGCTGTCCAAGGTGCTGCTGCGCCATCACTTCCCAGAGCTAAGAGTCCCGGACGGATTCGGCATGGCGCCATCCACGGCCAACTTTAATTTAGCACACTCGCACGAGTAAGTGCCACCAACACCTCGACTATAACAAGTATATTTTGCCAAGCACGTATCATGAAGTTTGTAGCGAATTGGTAGCGCTTTGTGCAAATAACTCATCGACAGGATCTTTGAGGAGTAAATGTCACTCACGTTGCTTCCATATACAGGTGAGAGGAAGGCTTCCTCTCGATCTTTTAGAATTGGTCATCGCTTTTGGTGATGCAATCAAATGCGACATTTTATTTTGTCCAATCTCATGCCTACGAGGGGTTTTGCGGTGCGCTGATTGGCTGACTGGTCGGTTTGGAATCCAAACTTTGGATCAATCCGCTCGACCCCATTCAGTTTTAGATTAGCATCCAAGCCAATAAGTAAGCGATAACAGTAGTCCAAGATGGTGAGCGCCAAGGAAACCGTGGAAGCCAAGATCTCGTCGACGCCTGTGGTGGTGTACAGCAAGAGCTACTGCCCGTACTGCGCCAAGACCAAGACGCTGCTGACGCAGCTGGGCGCCAAATACGACGTCGTGGAGCTGGACCAGATCAACGGTGGCAGCGAACAGCAGGACGCCCTGGAGCAGATTACGGGTCAGAGCACCGTGCCCAACGTGTTTGTGGGCGGCAAGTCTATCGGCGGCAACTCGGACGTGCAGAAGCTGCACAAGGCCGGCAACCTCGAGTCCCTGCTCGAGCAGAACGGCGCCCTGTGAACGGCAAAGATGTAGCTACCAGGAAAGATGTCAACGCCTTCGCTCTTCTTTAGCGTAGGTGTTGGAAAGTAACAAACGACAAAGTATTACCTCTCTTTCATCCTACATTGTGCATGTGCTTCATACGTTTCTTTATACATTGACTCGAGTGCTTTCTTCCGTCTCCATGCTCGTCAACAAGGCTTTTGTGTTCCTATGACGTACTTCACCTCTCAAAACCGATTGATCTAAATGGCTGAGCCATTTTCCAATTGACATCGGAACGATAACCATGTTCCGCAGTGCGAAGCCCAAGAAGAACAAGCGCCGACGCGTGGCCGAGGGAGAAGACGAGCAGCACACGAGCGGGCCTAATGCCGGTGAGGATGTGCCTGTGGTACCCGTGGCCTCCGACCGTCGCGCAATCAACACCTTCTCTGTAAGACGATCACAGCAACCACACTCGCTTCCTTCACTAACTGTTACGTTTTACTGCTAACGCAGACTGGCGGTGTGAAGAAGGCCAAAAATGTGGTGCAGACACAACTAATCGAGTCGGAACGCGAGATTGTGCCGCAGCAATACGCAGGCGACGCCACCTACGAGACTCAAATTGATACAGAGAAAGATCGGTACGTCGTGATATCTCCCAACCGTGCCTGTGTATCTGTCATTACTATGTTGTGTGCTGCTTTTTGCTGTAGTGATGCGCGTGCTGTGATGGAGAGGAGCATTAAGGCGAACCAGGACGGGAGTGCCGACGCGGATAGTGGAAAGGTGTACCGCGGCCAAGCTGCCTACAAGAGCTATATCACCAAGAAGGAATCCCAGATCGGCATGAACAAATACACAGGGTACGTCTCGCAATGAGGTAGTAAAGAGTTGTTTACATTAGTCTAACCCGTGAATATTTACTTTTTGCAGTACGCAAGGCCCCATTCGAGCGCAGACCTGGGCACGCGCGATCTCGCGGTTCGACTACCAGCCTGATGTCTGCAAGGATTACAAGGAAACAGGATTCTGCGGCTACGGTGATAGCTGTAAGTTTCTACACGACCGCGGGGACTACAAAAGTGGATGGCAGATCGAGAAGGAGTACGCGGAGAAGGAAAAGAAGCGACAGAAGCGGCTTCAAGAAGGAAGAGGTGCGTGCATATTACAGCTGTGCCTGCATGTATGAGGTCCTTGGGTTTAATATGAAGCCACGCTCTTTATAATCTGGTTAGACCCTGATGAAGAGAGCGAGGACGAAGATAAAGCTGCGACTAAGAAGAAAGAAAACGAGCAGTTTGCATGTACAATCTGTCGTGGACCCTTCCGGAACGCTGTTGAGACAATGTACGTTTATGCAAGGCCATCGAGGACGTACATGAGCGGATAGAATGTGCATTCAGTTGTGCTCAAATTTCAGTCTAACACTTTATGTGCTTGCAGTTGCGGTCACTTCTTTTGCGAATCGTGTGCGCTGAAGAACTTTAAGAAAACGTCGCGATGCTTTAACTGCAAGAAGCAGACCAATGGTACGTAGGGAGGGAGCGACGCGATGCATGAGCGGTAACCTCACTCATTGCGTAATGAAACATAGGCGTCTTCAATGCAGCTGAAAAGCTACGAGCAAAAGAGCGGGAACAGCGTGAAAATGACAAGCTTACTGATGCAGAGTCCACTGTAGACGCATCAGATAGTGCAGGAGGAGGGTGGACGAAGGTTGTAGAATCATCGTAACGTTAGAAGCGGTGTACAGCTCCGCAAGCTCACTTACAGAAGTTGATTAAGAGCCATTCATTACCTTGATAGCTCAACTTTCTACCACCACTTTAGAGTTCTCACCTCAATAAATACTTTACCAGCCTCTCTTCCTAACATTTATCCTAACTTAATAGCCCCCTTCGGCCTCCAAGATCGTCTTGGCGTATGGGTGGAATGCGATCCACCCGACAAGAAACGGGTTCATTAACTCCATGATGCCGTTGTTCCAGACCGTGTACGTCGTGCGGTTCCACGGAGGCGCCATGGCTGTCTCGTGGATCAGAGTCATGAACGAGCGTCCCAATTGGGACAGCGCCGCTGCTCCGAGCAGAGCAACAACATTCCACGTACTCGTATCCGTGGCGAACAACCACGTCATCCACACCGTCATTCCAACAGCGGCAAATATTACAGATATGACAAAGTCTGCTGCCCCGTAGAGCCTCGGGAAGGTGTATCTCCAGCGACGGAAACAGCGAGACAGCCACTCCGTCGTCACCAAGTCAAACAGGTAGTGACCCAATTCTGCGCACGCTATTGTAACGAAGAAGGCTGCCAATTCACCAGGGAGATTGTTAGCGAGTGGATGCTCCACAAAATCCACGACTTCCATCATAATAACCGTCACGTGAAGCAGCGCGACGGTATCCAGCGTCACCATGAGGAAGCACTCTAATAGTTTCTTGGACGCGATAATACGTGAGATGACGATGATGACCCAGCCCGCGAGTGCCACGAACAGGTAGTCCAGGATCGCCATCTGTGTCTCTGATCCAGTATAGTGTGCGATCATGGTGTTCATGGCCGTCACAGTGAGCGCACCCTGGTGAACCAGAATGGCGACGCCGTCACTTGGTGTCGGAGCGAAGCATGCAGACAGCACGCCAGCGAAGCAGCCTACCGCGGCACACACAAGTACCGTGTCTTCCGTATACAACGCAATGATGCTGCCTACCGCACCGACGGTAGACGCCATTACAAGCGCCGCTGTAACTGTCGCGCCTCGTACGTTTTTCATGCATCTGTCTGTGAATTTGGTCACCGCGTACGCCTTGGGCTCCATTCTGCAGCGTAGGGCGCACTCATATTCGCTTGGATCAGGTCGCGGTCTCTCAGGGTCTGTGCTTCCGAATACAGCAGCCACGGACGCCTCCAGCGGAGCCAGGAACCGTTGCCGGATGCGGTAGTGCCACCAGCTCTTCTCGAGCAAGGCGACGGCCAGACAGCCTTGCAGCAGATAGACGGAGTTGCGTGAATGACCTTCATGGATAGAGTAGAAGATAAACGAGACCAGCAGCGCGGCCGCCGCGAGGGTGGCACAGAGAACGAAGAGTCTACTGCTGGTCGAGGTCGTCTTGCTCGGAGGTGACGGCTCCTGCGGGCGTCGGGAGTGCGAGCTATAGCTGATGGTGTCCAAAGGATCCATGCACCGCCACTCGGACTGGGCGGCGAGCTTCGTACTGAGCTTGCCGCCCCCACGCTGCGAGGGAGGGGAGAAACAGCGATGATGAACGCGGCCGAAGCTCCCGCGTCGAGGTGGCAAGACAAACAATGGGGAGCGACCATAGCATTTTAATCTCGAGCCTGGCTCTGTCCCACCTCGATTAAAATTGAATAGGGGTAGGTCCGTCGTATTTTTTTTCTTAAATCGAAAACTTCCTGATTGGTTTAAAATGCGGACTATTTTTTTGGTTGTTTGAGAATTTCTTTTTAACATTTCTGCTTACAAAACTAAATTCCACGTATTGTTTGCACGACGTCGCGGTGACATCAAGACAAAGTTACATCGTCGCTCTGAAGGAATAGAGTTATATCGCTCTTCACCTTGTCCTACCGCATTGGTATTTTTTTTTTTCAAGATTCGTTATGGCCTGTCTGAATCCCGTGCACAGCCGAACGGAAGATTGAGATACTGATACTATTGTATATATATCCTGGAGCTTTTCGATCATTCACACCGTACTAACAGAAGCTAAAATGAAGTTGAACGGTAACTACTGTAATTACAACTCCTTATAAAGTCTAGACAGTAAAATAAACATGCAGTTGCACGAAATGGACCCCCTTGCTGTCAGGAATTGGGTCTCAAATCGATTTGGAGTGGTACAACAATGTGAAAAAGCTTCGCATAGGGAAAGGGCTTATGGTACGCTGACGCTGGATATACAAACGCCTATGACGTTGTATGACGTTCTTCGAGCTGCAAGGTGCAACAACAACAATCTGTCTGCTTTGCACTGCAGCACCGCTACTTGCTTCAACACGTCGCGCAAACTTCGCGAATTCGCGCACCTTGGTGGATGGCCGTCAAGCTAAGCGAGTTTTTCTTGAAGGAAAAGCAAGGTTGGTGGTTATACTAATAACGTGGTGAGAGTCGGAAGACTGAACGTATTGCACCACCGAATCGGTGGAAAGCAAGAACCTCACGCTGCAGCAGGTGGTCTTCGACGTACAGTTAACATGTAAACGAGCACTCAAACGCAGTGTTTATCGTCATATCTGCCCAAAACTGCTCGTTTTCTTTGGCGCTAAGTGGAACAAGCCAGTAAGATCCCTCTCGCTTCTGAGACTTTTTTTTACCAATAGAATCGACGAAACGTGACATCCACTGGCCTGTGGTTGGCTAAAACTCAAACCGACCCCTATGTACAAAAAAAAACAAAAGAAACGAAAAGCAGAGACCCCCTCCATACGGAGCCCCAGTCGTTCATTAATCCGCTCTAGTCACAATGGAGCTGCAGGAGCGGCCGCCGCCGTGTCATGCTGTGTGCACGTCACACACACTCGCGACGCTCTTCTCGGTGACAACGTACGTAATACTTCCCGCCGTAGTCGTGACGCTCGTGGAGGTGGGGGACGCCTACCTTCTCCTCTTCCTGGGACAGCTGCTGTTAGCCGTCGGTGCTGTCGAGTGGAGTTGGCTGGCCTTCCGCATCCGTCAGCGGCTTCTGTTAGCCGTAAATCTCCACGAGGATGCATCTACAACGACAGAATCGATCGCATTCGTAGTAACACAAGACACAGGAGAACAGACACAACAGACAGAAGACGAAGAGGCCAGGAGACTGCGCGCACTGGAGGACCAGCCGTTGAGGAGACAGGATCCCAGAGAGAACTACACGCGTATGCTGAGCGAAGCCATGCGCGCCAGGAGCTTCGCTATCGCGCCACTAGCGGACAGGATATGTAGCGGACGCTGGTACCTCGCCGCCTTTTTCTTGGCTACTCTAGGCGCCGTTATTAGCGTCCTTCTGGCCTACGCAGTGGAAAGCACGGTATTTGACAGCAACAACCCTGCTTCGGGTTGGAGAATGATGGTCGGCGCGTCCGTGGAAGCCGCGTTCGTGTCTATCTTCTGCAGTTCATTGGCACCTTCAGGGGCGGACGCCGTCGTGCTTGTCGTGTACCAGGCCTGCGTTCTTGTGGCTAGTATGAACGCATACTTAAAGTTACAGGTAGATGTCATCGCCTCCGACGCTCAGGTGGACCCGCTGTTCATTATTTTGGCCGGCGCTATCATCATCATCGTGTTCCGTGTCGTGACGAGCAAAGTCGTCATGCAGAGCCTGTTGCTGGTGCTGTGTGACGTGCTTGGTCTTGTGTGTATTGTGTCGCCGCTCATCGCCTTTGCGGACCTGATTGACCAGACAATGAACCAGTCGTTTAGGAATCAACTGGCGCTTTTCGTGCTCGTGGTATTAGCTGCAGACGTGGGGGATTGTCTCGCCAAGGAGTTGCAGCTGCATTGGCCACGGGTTTTCAAGTGGTGTCGGCACCCGGTGCTCAAGTCTGAAGCTACTACGAAAGATGTGGAAGCGCTGGCGATTTCGTTGATGTGTGGTGCTATTATCATTGCGGCTGTCCGTTTGGGCTCTGGTGGATCAGATTTCAACGCCGTGGAAGTGGTTGTGTTGTTCTGTGCCATCGCATTGGGACAGTGGTGTAGACTGTGGATGGCACATGTTCGACAAATGGCTAAAGTGTCTACCTCCGCGTTTTATTTTCCAGAGGGAAGCCGAACGTGCGGTGTGCTTGATCGAATGGCGGTTTTTCTTGTGGCTATCATTGTCTACTACCCGTACATCAAGCAAAAGTACTTTGCATAGGATTGGTGACGGGTGAAACGTTTAGTTGATAGCTCAATTAGAGGCGGCGATCGACAGTGCAAGCTCGTGGACCAGTGGCATTCCGGTTGTGGAAATTGTTATTCTTGCCACAAACCACTATTAGCGTCATTTATTTATTTATTGGGGCGATGTGAGCAAGAAAAACGGTGCCAGCCCCGCGTTCAAGGCAAGACATTATTCACGACGAGTAATTTGCAACACGTTCAAAGATAGACAGAGCAAAAGAGGGCTAGACGGGAGATTGAACGTTACATGTAATACTCGGCTTGTGGACAGCAACGAATGATGGATCTGAGGTAGTTTTAAATGCAAAAATGTTGTGATAAGTGTGCTCGAATTCGAAAATGCACGACGTTAAATACTTGCTTCGGAAATCCACACTGGGGTAAATTACTACGCAAACAAATAAAAGGCTTACTAACGTTATTACGAGTAAAAAGTTGAGAATTTGGCTGCTACAGCAGAGCATTCTTAACTAGAGACCGAATCCTATAGCTGGACCTCACAAGACCATCATAGACACCCTCACGTTCGCCCTCGAGTGCCATCTTTGCAGCGTATTCAGCTGCCATTTTGCTGGAAAGCTCGCCCATCTCTGCGTACCTGGAGCGTTGACTTCCGCTGGACTCTCCAAGAGAATCCATTCGCTTCTCCAGCACTGAGATAACTTTGTCTTTTGCAGATATTTGGCTTGAAATCTGGGACCATTTTTCGTGGAAAGGTTGCTCGTCAAGAGGTGACAATCCTCTTTCAGTCTGGTTAAGCAAAGCTCTTTTGAACTCATCGAGTTGAGGTTTCCACTCGCGAGCAATGAGAGCTGCCACAGTAATTTCACGTTTACTCTTCTCGGTGCTGATGGACACCCGCAGTTCATCAACTTGTCTGCGGAAATCCGGATTGCAGCCCACTAGAAACTGAGCGTGGCCAGTGGATTCTTCAATCACCTTTTCGTTCGTTAAGATTTGGTCGTTCATGTGGGTGTAAGCATCCAGCAAACTTTCCTTATCGGAGCCAAGCAAGTCAGTCGCAGTTAAACTTTGCTGGTCATCGGTATGTGAACGTTCTTCAGGACTAGCCGCAATACTGGAAGGTTTCGCCTGGGAGAGATTGGAGAGATTAGCGACAGTATCAACAGTCTTCTCGGACAAGAGCGAATGGGTTACGGCGGATTGGGCCGGGGAGTCAGACACCACCAGCGTATTGGTCACAGAACCAGAAACAGTAGTACTGTCACTTCCAGCAGATTCTTTCTGACGTAACATCACCACCTCGTCCTCAAGCTGTTGAATCCGATTCATAAGTTTCCTGGCCCACCGACGAACACACGGCGGGCAACTGCAACCTCCTGCGAGTAGATCACCACCGTGATCCGTATTCGAGCGATGCACAAAGCTTCCTTCGGTTGTCACCGTTTTCTGAGGAGGTTCTGGGTTCGCAGGTGCAGGAATACTAGGTTCAGTGGCCAACCTTGATACGTCGGAGGGAGAATCACCGGTAGCTGGTTCAACTTCTTGAGGCAATTCTTCCTGCACGCGTTGCTTCTTCGCTCCAGAATTTGGAGACTCCACATTGTCACCGTCTTGCGATGGCGCATCCGATGGATGTCGTTTAAGATCAGGTTTTGGCACAGTGTCCTCCACTTTGTGGTTTAAACTAGAGTGGTTAAAGGACGATGGAGGGTCTCCAAGTTCATCCAGTCGTCCACGTTTCTTGAGATATGCCTTGCGGGCCTGGTACCTGGCCTTCGCTTTCCGCTCTGCTTCTTTTTTCATGTCTTCAGTGTTCATCATCAGCGGTGTAGAAGGAGATGTAGTAGCTGGTGGAGTCGACGGCGCCGACAAGTCCTGGTCACACGGTTTCACTCTGTTCATGTGAATGCGAAGACTCTGCGGACTTGAGAACGTTTTGCCACATTTGACACACGTTCTCGAAGCCGCCGGTCGCCGACGTTGCGTAGTGACAGGAACCGGTTTTTCCTGATCGCACGGTCTGATACGGTTAAGGTGGCCCCGCAATCCCTGCCAGCTCGCGAAGGTTTTGCCGCACTTAAAGCACGTCTTGGACTCAAATCGGCCCTCTCTCGGCAACGTTGCCGGCCTCGGTTCATTGCAAGGATACACATTGGCCAGGTGGGTGCGAAGACTCGTGTTGGACGAGAAACCTTTGCCGCATTTCGGACATAGCACCTCGCCGGTGTTCCCCCCTTTGTCGGGGTTTAGCTCCTGGCTGTCTTCGCTCGGCTGCGAGGGAGGGGACTCGGAAACGATCTCCTCGTTCTGAATGGAGGCAGTCTGTTTGTTGACGTTTTGGTTCTCTTGGTGTTGGGTGTGCGGTTTGGGAGGCGCAGGCTGCTCACTTAGCCGCTCATTGCGCTGTAGCATGCCCAGTACACGGCGCACGGGGAAGAGTTCTTGCAGGGGCCGCTGTGCAGCCACGAGACCCGGAGGATTCGAATCCGCCTCCTCAGTTGCCATCGATACTCGATGCACTTTCGGGAGACTCGGACGATTTGCGTATCAGCGAACAAACTGAAACGATTTTTTGCAAAAGAATTTGTTTACCGTAATGATGGCAGCAAATTGGTTTTTCATTCCTTACAAACATCAAGTGAAATGAAAAAGGAATTCGATCCAATCAATACCGTACATTGATCGAATGGTTTCGAAGAATTAGAGAGCACACTTTTTTCAAACGGTAGAAAAAGTCGAAGTGCAACTGGTTACCGGTATTATATCATTGCAACTACCCGATGGACGGAAGAGATCGAGGGCCCGCCAGGCCCATGACGTACCGCGAGCTTCTCGCCACGCGCGTGCTGTCAGTTGATGCGTATTGGCAAGAGCTACGCGAGCCGAGTCGACGCTCGCCGAGGGAGATCCCTGTGCCCCTCTGGCCAGGCGAGAGTCTGCAGCAGTATGAGCGCGAATTCTGTCGCTGGCTGGCAGCGCAGCGACTGTCGCTTGTTTCTATGCGTGAAGACCCCGTAACCGAGCGCAACTACCGACTGCAGTTCGCTGAGACGCGAGTAGCGCGGCCCGGCAACGCGCAGCAGAGACAACCGTCGGGTCCACGGTATCGCAGGTCCTTGTCGCGATCTCCTCCGCCTAAGAGACGCTTTACTGGAGCACAGCCGCATCCAATTCCAAGAGATGACAGAAGATACGTCTACGAACGAAATCCTGCAGACAGCGGACGTTTAGTTGCACCCAGACAAGTAACAATTCCACGAGAGCGGCCTCAACTGGCACGAGGATACTCTGAAGGTTCTCGGGCATATGACGACTGGCAGGCACAGCGGAATGTGGAGCGACCTCGGCAGGACACTCGACCGTCACCCCGTGATCGTCAATATGGCGGCGATGCTCAGCGTTGGACGCGATCTCGTTCAAAATCGCCCGAGTACGTTACTAACCGAGCTGTATCACCACAACGCGGTGGTAGGCCATTGTTGCAACGCAGATCGGACGATCAAGGCAGATCGAATATTGATATTCTTCGCAAACAATTGCTCGCCAGACGAGTGATCTCGGTGGATGCATTCCGAGACGAGATGTTCAAACTTCGCAACGGACTTATCCGCGAAGACTCTCTCAAAAGACCCCATGAAACAATGGTGAGGATCCCCGTCATTCTCTGGCCTGGCGAATCCATGGCTCAGTATACGCAAAAGTTTGAGCGGTGGCTCGACTCTCGGAAGATATCGCTAGCGTCTCTACGTGATAATCCGGCCAGAGAGCGCTCGTTGTGGCACACGTTCGCGTATACGAGAGCAGGAGCGTCCGATTCGGGAGAACCAGCTCATTTCAGTGCACCAATGAGCACACGTTCCAGATCTGGATCGAGATCTAGGTCGCGTTCTAGATCATCGACGAGGAGCATTCAAAAAGGGTCGGAGAGAGGACGCACGGTAGCGCCGGCTGGTTACGGTAGCAGCGCGTTGCAGAGAGGAAATGTTACCAAGACGGCTAACTTACCTCGACGAGATCGCTCTTATTCGCCCAAGCAACGAGGCAGATCGAGATCTCCGCCTCCGCGTATCGCCCCACCTGAAAACCCCCGTCTTCTTATGAACAAGACGCGCAGACAGTTGCTGGAAAGGCGAATAGTGGAGCTGGAAGTTTTCCGACAAGAGGTCGAACAGAATGCTGGTGCTGGAGCTGAGGACTCTGTACTAACTGCCATCCCTGTGCCGCTGCATCCTGGGGAGTCGATGGGGCTTTACGATCATCGCTTTTGGACTTGGTCAAGGAAGTTTAACGAAACGAAAGAGTCACTGAAGGAAAATGCAGCCAGAGAACGGAGACTCCGAAGGGCGTTTGCTTACCTTAGAGTCAACACCACCAGGCCGCAGGCTTCGACAGTTGCTGGAGCTCAAAGAGCGCACGATCAAGACGCCTCAGGGCGTAGGCGTTCATCTAAAAGACCAGCAGACGAAAATGAGCGTCAAACTCCAGTCAGAAATGGCCAGCCGAGTAACAAGCGCACACGGACAGAAGAGAAACAACGGGCTCGTACACACACGACACCAGATGCCTCGTCTAGTCGCTCTCCTGCTGAACCGGAAGTGAAGACAGAGCCAATTCCGGTGGAATCGAATCAATCCTCATCTCGGTCAAGCGTGGAGCCAAGAGCAAATACGTTTTCAATAAGAATGTCTAGTTCGACGATACCTTCCAGTTCGACGTCACCTGCCAGTGCGCCGTCGGTACGAGTTTCCATGGCAGCAAGAGCGAGTTCGACGCCTACAATGAATGCACCGTCGGTGCAAGCCACGACAGCGAGAGCTCCAGCTCCAAAGACCATTCCACCGTCGAAAGGTGTTCGTATGGCAGCAAGAACAAATTCGGCTCCTACAGCCATTACGTCTTCCAATAGTGTTCCTATGACAGCGAGAACGAGTTCAGCATCAGTAGCTAGTGCTGCTTCGACAAGAACGACGACTACGACGTCGTCACCCAGATCCGTTCACTTCTCGACATCCCTTGAGTTAATTCCAGAGACTATTCGTGCTCGGACACAACCAACAAGCGCAACGACTGCAGAGGAGCCAAGGATCAAACTCGAACAGCCAACAGTACCATCCTCAGCTGCAGCTTCAACGACGAACCCTTCGCCGTCCCGCGCTCAAAGTACAACAGAAAGGTCTCGTAACGCTAGTAGTAACCAAGCGGGGAAGCCATCGGATAGTTCGAGAACAGGGACCAGTCAAGCAGCAGCACAGCCGCTGCAGCGAACTTCAGTGTCAAGTGCTGTTGCTAAGCCGACAACACTTTCATCAGAGACCCGCAACGTGGGTACCAATAAGGTTGGAAAGCCAGTGGAGACTAGTTCTGCAACGCGGACCAGTCAAGAAACATCACACCCGCTGTTGCAACGACTGCGTATACCAACAACGACCACGTTTGCTTCAGTGCTAAGCCCCGTTGAGAAGCCAGCAAGGTTTTCGTTAACGCCTCCCGCAGCACCAGCAGTATCAATGGCATCTCAAGCGCCAATACTGACAACTTGTCAAAGCCAAACCACATCGAACACTGTCACCTCTACGACAACAGCGACGGCAAATTCTTCGGCAAATGCTTCAAGTCAAATGTTACTTGCAGATCCTGCGGTTGCAACTTCCAGAGTGAATGTCGTTGAGAATGCCTCGGCGGGAACTGATGCTGCAGTGGCTGAATCTGATACGACACCGGCTGAGCCAGAAGCTGAGGTCTCTGGCTCCGAGTCGAACCCAGCTCACGACTCTGAAGAGCACGATGGCGACGTCATGAACCAGGACGGATGCTGTTGCAATAACTGCATGCGCAACTGGGCCAAAACACTGACAGATCGCATGGATCAACTTGAACGCAACGTGGGAGAGCTAAAACGCAGAGTCAATAGTGGCGGACAGGCATTGACTGTTGCAGGTTCATAGTAAGAAAAATCTATCTGATAAAAAGAGAATTGCCGTGTTTTGTCTCTTATTTGCCAGTGTAACATTAGCGAAATCGCACTTAATCGAGACCTCAAACTGTTCTAAAGCTTGCAGGATACGCGATGGCCGATCGTCGCTACGCTCGGCAAACCTCCAGAGGTCGATCTCCTTCCGCTTGGAGGTCGCGCTCTCCGCCACGATGGAGATCTCCCTCTCCAGTTCGTTATCGTCAATCTCCATCCCCGGCTGTTGCTGGACGATACTCAGCCAGATCGCAGTCGCCTCGGCATTGGCGCTCACCTTCCCGTTACCGAAACAGATCCACGTCGCCACCGCCGAGAGGTGAAATGTCACCACGTCGACCGAGATCTCGGTCACCTCCAGCCAATTACACACGCGAAATACCAGAAAACCGTCGTCGCAAACTGTTAGCAGAAAAGGTTATGTCTTTGGAGACATATCATCGACTGTTGCAGGACCCCAAGTCCCCATGGTCCAAAACTTCAGGAAATAGAGTCATGCCCATTCCAGTTCCCTTAGCTTCCAGTGAAAACACTGGAGATTACCAACAGAAATTTGAGTTCTGGTTGGCCCAGAGGAACGTCACTCTATCATCGCTCCGAGACAACGTCATTCAAGAGCGAAACTATCGCTGTGGGTATGCCCAATGGCGTGTGCAGATGAAATATGGACAACCACGGCCTAAATCATCTTCTGCATATCCTCGACAACGCTCACGCTCCAGATCTCCCGAACGGTACCGTAAACGAGGTATCCAGGAGCGAGACCAGTACTCGTCAGCTCGTCCTCGCAGTCCTGAAAGAATCTCATCGTATCAAAGTGAACCCCAGAGCTGCAGCACCTCTGCTCCAGCTACTGCAACGGTGGGCTCATCGAGGTTTTATGATGTACGTCGTCAGGTATCTAAGAGCTTCATTGGATACAGAGACAAAAGCCTCAACAGTGAAGTCTGTTGCAAAAATTGTGACCGCAAATGGGATGATTTAAACAGACGTTTAAAACAACTCGAAAGTGTCGTATCTCGAATTGGTCTGCCACGTCCGAGAGGTACATTCAATGGCAGACGCTCTTCGCGTTATGACGATTTTGAATCATCTCTGATAGATCTAACGGAAGATGTCGATATGGAAGCAAAAACTGGTTCAAATGCCACCCAGTCTGAAGAAAAAGAGAACAACGGATCAGCTGAAAATACACCGGAAAATCAATCGAGGAGCGTGGAAATTACGCCCACCGACAGTGATACGAATCGCGACAGTCCACCAACCGCGGAGGATTTGGATGAACCGACCACAGAACCCGGTGATGAACTCGAATCGAAGTTAGCACCAGAACTGAGGCTCTTGATCAATGCGTACAATCAACTTAACGACGATGTGTTAGCGAAGCAAAAAGAGGAGGAAAAAATGGTCACAGATATGGAGTTGGCAATAGATGAAGACAAGGCGAACTTGGTGAAGTTGCGAAGCCAAATTTATGAGCTTCGAGACGCCATTAAGAGGCAGAAAGATGGGCGGGACGCCGCCGTTGTTGCGATAATCATACACACTCATGCTAAGAAACTGGCAGAGAATAAGGAAGAGCTTCAAAAGATAGCAACATCAGGTGTATCCAACGAGCAAGAGGATTTGCATGAAAAATGTGCAGGTATTGCTGCGAAACTCGCAGAAAAAGACAAAGAGCTGGCACGATTGCAGAAGCAACTCCGGTCACTTAGTTCGTTGCCCATGAATACGAAGGAGAGCGATGGTGCTTTGGGGGAGAGGGAAGCACATGAACTATCGAATAAAATTCGATTGGAACAGGCCTCGAAAGCATCGCTGGAGACTGAGCGCCAGAAGATCTTCACGAGACTCATGAAGTCAAGCCGGCAGATCCAAGCGCTCGTGATAAAAGAGATCACCAGTAAATAACGCGCTCGGCAAACCCATGTCTGTTGATGCGGGGATGTCAGCGCACCAGGAGCCAACTCCCAGCCAAAAATGTTATGAAGGCGGCAAACTAGTAGGAGACACTTGTTTAGTTTTTTTTTTTTTACCAAATTGAATTGCTAATTGAATTAATTGAATCAACTGAACTTGTTCGTGAAACTATTAGATTTTCGGTATTCAAGATCTTCAATGTGAAGCAATGACGAGCGATTTAGTACAGCGCTGTCATTTTTGCCGTCACTTTTTTTTCGGAACGAAAGCTTGAAATGTGAGTAAAACAAGTAAAAACGGATTCTTTTGAAGCGTTTGTCGTGCGTCAGGCGATCTTGATGTCGTACTCTGCAACACGTTAAAACAGAGCGGGTGCCCATATGCACAGGACTGCATGTGTGCACCCGCTGTGTTTAGATAGTAAGCTAATCCTGTCGCAAAAGTAGCTTCATTTCCAAGAATGCTTTTGAAGTAGGTACATCTGGCTTTAAAGCAGTTGGAACTTGTCGTCCTTCAGTCTTGGCGGCCTCCTTATCAATAAAATTTCCATGTTTCTCGAAACCGAACGCTTCAATTTGAAGCAACATCTAATTTGAAGTTCAAATATACCATAAATGTTAATAATTTAGCGGCATCTTGTTACATGTACCTCAGTTGTAATTATTGCACTAACTCATGTTACCCAATTGCCGCCATACCCCCCGGTCTTCACGCATTGGCCTGGTATCAGATACGTGACTTATCATAGACCACCGTGTGTGTTGGTTGTGCTCCAATCCTGCAAGTTGGTGGAACTCACAGCCGGTGGTGGTAAGGACTTTGCAAAAAGAGCTGTTGCGTTTTCACCAGTTTTATTTTTTCCGCTCACTGGCCAGCATTGTCTCACTTGATAACCGACCGCGAAGGACACAACCAAAGAACCCAAAACTCATTCGAAAACGGACACCGAAGAACCAAAGCGATGGAGGTACTTCTACTCTCAACCGATAGCAACTTGCCATTTGCACTCGACTCAGCTAAAGTTGCCAAGAAAACGACACTACTTCGAGTAGCAGACAAGAAGAGTGACAGAACCTGCACCAGATGCGGCAAAGTCCTGGCCACCTCGCTTGCCCTTCAGAACCATCAGAACAAAGTGTTTCTGTGCGACCAGAAAGGAGTGCGCAATGCCAAGAGGGATGTGAAGGTAACGAGCATTTTTCACCGCTGCAGGAGGTGTGAGAAAACGTTCTCAAGTGCTGCAGGGCTTCGCTATCACATTGCAAAAGCTGTTCCTTGCGAAGCCAGACAAACTGTTGGCCTTAAAAGGCCGCTGCAATTGAAGAGAAGCAACAATGTTACTAAGCTCCTCAAGCCTGTGACCTCCTCACTAGACCTTAGCCAGCCTAAGCTGCGTGTCAACTCTGGACCTGAGCAACTCGACCAAGGCTCCAAAACTGCAAAGCTCTCCAAATCCGACAAGGCAATACGATCCAAGATATCACTTGATGAGTATCTGTCGGTGGTAAAGGAGAATCAACGCCAACCTAAGCAGAAGCCACCGGCAACTCGACCCGCGGTTTCTCGCGACTCTAAGTCAACAATTTCTGCATCGAACTCGTTGATTAAGCGAAAGCGAATCGCTGAAGATAAGAGAGAGATGTCCCCCATGAGAGAATCTAACAAGCGGATGTGCAGTGAACCATTTACCACGTTAGCTGCACAGATTTCCAAGAGTAGCTCTTCGCCAGATTCACTTCCAAGCAAGCCGATTAACGCTACTACTACTTCCGCGATCTCGTCTCAAGAACGAAAGCCTGTTCAAGTTCATGGTGGCAATATTCTAACCGATGGCTGCTGTTGTCGCCAGTGTGTTAGGAAGTGGACTTGCAATATGATGAATCGACTAGAGTATCTCAACGACGAAGTGACCAGCTTACGGAAGTTAGTCAGACCTGATCAAACCACCAAACCAGCCACAACGAAACTTCCTCCAGCATCAGCTGAATCCAACATAAAGGTAAAATCTGATGTGGCGTGTGGAGATACAACGAAAAAGCAATCCGACCAAGCCTCGTTGCATTCTCGAAATGATCAACCCAGGCGTACATTGACGAAAACCAACAAAGAACCTTTAGTGGTCTCTACATGTACGTCAAGTGTGAACAATGTTGATGGAGTTGACTTGGATTCCCCGGCGGCGAACGATTCGGTTGCTATCAAGTTGATAGAAAAGTACAATCGCCTGAACTACCAAATAATAACAAACGAAAGAGCTCTCGAGGATTCGGTTGCCTACTTGAAGGAAACGCCTCGAGATGCCCAAACTAGCAGCTCGGAGGTGCATAGTCAACTTGACGAATTACGCGTTTACATCGACATCGAGAAGAGCAAGCGGGACGAGGCAGTTGCAGCAGTAATTGCTCAACAATGGAACAACCGCAAGGATGAGTTCCGTCTTTTGCTTGAAACTATGACAGTGAAGAGCAAGCCGAGTGCTCAAAAAGCGTTTCACGAAGAGTGTGCTGAAATTACGAGCCAATTGGGCGAAAAAATCAAAATACTCTCCACTATCAACACAAGAGAATCCTCGCACGGCGTCGATGCGAAATATGCGGTCGAGAGAACTGCGAAGCAATATTTAGAGCGACAGCGTGATGATATTTTCATGTGTATGATACGAACTAGCCCCCGTATCCATTTACTTACGAAAGCGAAACTAGATGAGACCACTAAGAAAATGTAGAAATATCTAGGCATTTATCAATTTTTCGTTTTTTTTTTTTTTTCCTGTTTCAGTTTTTTTTATTTCTTGCTTTTTTTTCACTTGGTCTATGGTCAACTTCTCCATTTTCTTAAGCAAACTTCAGCAGCTTTGCCATCACGGATTGCATGTAGCTGAAAGCAACAGGCTCCGCCGATGCCACGTAGTTGTCCGGAATACGTTCATCCCAGACGAACGAATGCGCAGCTTCCACTGTGACTGACTCGTTGACATTGCCACCGCAGCCGACGATGAACACTGCAGCCTCGAGGTACGAGAATGTAGTCTGGTTGGAACCGAAGACGCACTCCGGGTTGTTGGCACGACATTCAGCCAGACGATCCCTACGGGTCTCTCCGACTTCAGTCACGCCGAGGGTTTTACCATCCAGCGAGCGGTTCAGCAGATCCTCCACCATCGTCTCGTTGATGTTGATCGGGTCACCGCCAAAGTACTCGTCATTGTGCACAAGGGACGCATCGTGCTCAAGCACGTTGTGACGTGAAATAATGTCAAGCGAGAAGGTGGCAGGCACCTGGTTCAGTAAAATCTGCGTCAAATTCTTGTCGAAGTTGAATACGGACATGAGAGCCGCGCCCAGGTTCTCGTGGGTGATATTCTTGCCACTGCGCGGGATGTGACCGTGGTTAGCGAGCGAATTCAGACCAGGACACGGAGATCGGCGGAACGGGACGGGTGAGGTCGAGTCGGCGTAACCAGTGACCTCATCACTCGAAGGACGGTAGAACTCGCCAACCGGAAGCGAATCAATGGAGACTTGAGCGTTCTGGCTGGTATCAACGGACCCAGCGGCAACGGAAGAGACAGCAAGCGCGGCGAGAGCGATGACAGACACCATGGTCGACGCGATGAAAACTGGAAAGTGAAATGTCTGGACCACCGGGTCGGCGGATTAGAAAACGAAAAGCATGACGCAGTCCCCAATCCTTTGGATTCGGCTAGGCAGAATTGCTGAAACATGCGATGAATTGAGATTGGATCGTGAACATGACTTACATACGAATGTCTAGATAACCTTCAACTTTTCGATTGAAGCAGGATACCTTGTGGAAAGACCATCGAAAGATGCGGATCAAACTTCGGTGCGCTGATAAGGCGCATAATATAGGGCATATTATGTGCCATGGCTACAAGTGCATGTAGCGGTGCACTGAGGAAACCTTTCGAAGGAATTCTAAGCTATGCTGTTACGTGTAGCGAATGATTCTGGTGGTTTGGTCGGGCAGAAAAGCCTTTAGTGATGGATGTGCAGAAATCATTTGGGCAAAACTGTGGCACACAATCAAAATGGATCAGCTCATACATGTTCGTTGTGGTAGTAACCACTGCTTACATACTTCAAAGATACTTAGGCTGTCGCTGGTCTGGCAAGCAAAGCAATGCTTCCCTTTTCTGCTCTTTGCTTAGAATGCTTGCGCGCCACAGTATCGATAGCAAACTCTTGTCACTGGCATGCTGCACCCTCACTAAACTAACACGTCACAACCAATTACTTCATGTGGTATTTTAAAAAGTTGGAGCGCTTGAGATAGCATAATTCATCGCTGATGAGTCCATTACTAAATGGTGGGAAAGATAAGGTTCAACTGTACCGGCAAAATATAGAATTGCTGGTGAAAGGTGCGGAACGTCCATAGTCTTGTCATTTCTTCCTGTAGATTGGTGCACACTTCTCCTTGCCTCTTCCCCTTGTTTCGTTCTTTCAATTTTTTTTTTTTTGAATAACAGGATCGGTATTGTATGTGCCCAAATCAAATTCTCTTTTTCCGTCAGCCCGCAGGCCTGGATTTGTACGCGTACTCCCTCATGGCCTCGCCTACGAAGAACACACTTTGAGCTCTGTTGTGGTGTTCCATACGTCTGCGGCAATAGGCTTTTGCCGAAAGCTTCAAATACACCACATCTTCAGAATTCACAACATCTCTGCAGTCCGTCTCAGCTCCACTGTTCTACTTTTCGCCAATTCCTCCTCCACCAACTTCCGGATCCCCTTGTCTTCTTGCAAAAAGCTCTTCATAACTTCGTTACGTTTGTGCTCGAGTTGCTCTTTAGTTTCTTGCTCCTTCATCAACCTCTTCGACATTTTTCGGAGTGCTTTGAAACGGAGAGCTTTGTCCGCTTCTGACACGTCAGGTGGTAACCCAGTGACCCACTGAAGTTGCTCGTTCAGATGCATCTCCAGTGTCTCCAAGACGCTGACTTTTTGCTCGATTTGTAAGGAAATAGCCCTTAACTCGTCATGATTAACCTTATTTCTTCCCTCTCCTGAAGGTTCTTCTTCCAACAGCGACACCAGAATATCTTTCGTAGCTGTAAATTTGTAGACAATCAAGGCGGCCAAAGCACTAGCACGCTTCTCCTTCTCCTTGTTGATCGAGACAACCAGCTCCATGACTTGACTGTGTTGCTCCGTTGCAATGGCCTCATCCACGTCTTTGATAGCCTTTATGTAGTCGAGAGCGTCGTCGATAGCAGTTTCATTCATCGAAATCTGCTCGTTCAGATGGTCATATGCTTCCGTTAGCTGGCGCTTCTTGGAGTCTTCATGGACTCGAATTTGTACGGCGCGTGCTAGGATACGCGTAGCTTCACGATAAATTTCCTCACAAGTCGGCTGTTTATCAACAACATTCTCTTTCTTTCCATCACCATTCTTGTTCTCGTTCGAAAGTGCCGACACATCATGTAAAATTTCAGCGCTGCTTCCGTTTAACATATCACTCTTCGCTTGAAAAACCTTGCTCTTGGTCTCTGTTCCATTACTCAAAGAGGTTGAGTTTTTGGCAATTGATTCTTGTGAAGGTTCTACAGACCCAAGTTTGGGCGCTGGGTTAGCTGTTGCACTGGAAGATATTCCTTGACAACAAGGGCAGGAGTCAACTTGTCGTTGTAGCTGCGTCACTTTGGCTTCGAGTTTCTGCACTTTGCCTATTAACTGCGATGCCCAGCTTGGCAGCTTTTCTTTGCTTGGTCCATCTGACTTGAGCGTATCTGGCGCTCCATTCGATTTAAGAAGTTGTATAGTAGCCGTGTCTTCATTTGAAGTATCTAATGTTGGATGCTGCGCATTTGCTGCGTCTTCCTTTTGTCGTTTTGACTCTTTTGTTTCGGTCTTCTGGGTTACTGGTACAGCCTTTTGAGAGCTTGTGTTTGGACTTTGCGTAGCCACTTTGGGAGTGTTTGTGTCACTGATTCTGCTTGCACATTGCGCTTGATCAGCTTTATTTGTTCTAGCCCGGGAATGATGCGACGTGCGTTCAACAGCCTTATCCTCTTGGGGATTTTTAGGTAGTAGCAAGTTTTTAGGTGGTAAACTTTTCGATAAGTGTTGTTTGGCTTCGTCACGGGAGCCAGGCGGTTCGTTTGCGTCATGAACATTATCCTTCGCTTTGGATATTGTTGACTGTGAGCGAGCCTCTAACTGCGGATGCTTGGAAGAATTTGTCCTCTTTAAAGCCCGCTGATATGCGAATTGATGGCGGTATACACGCTCTTTAAGCGGTTTATATCGCAGAGATAACACCGAAGTCTGACGATGGTGAAGCCAACGTCCAAATTCGTGCTCGTAATCATCCATTGTTTCTCCTGGAAATAATGGCACTGGGATCTTAACTAGCTTCCCATTTGAGCGTCGATTCAGCTTCGGCCCCTTCATTTCCCTCAGATACGCATCCACGGACACAACACGAGGTGCCAAAATTTCTGCTCGACTTCTTGGTTGAAATGGTTTATCAGTTGATGACTGGGATGCTGGCGAAATTGATCTCTGTGAACGTGGTGGCATTTGACTAGAGCTCAGGATTTCATCACGTCTATCGTTTGGTCTTGTATGTGATAGACACGGCATTTGCTCATCGTCTCGGCTTGAAATTGTCGAATAGTGCTCTCTTCTCGCTTCAATACGAGCAGGAGGTTTCCCTCTATTTGCACTTCTGTCACTGTCCATAGATCTGTCACGTCTTAAGCGTTTAATGCTTTGAGAGGCAGAGCGTTGGTAAAACGCCTCGTACTCCTCGTCAATGCTGCGCTTTTGCACCCGCTGACCCCCTGTTGAGGATGGATTTAATCGCTGGAAGGCGAAGGTGAGCCACAGCTTGCGTTCGCGCTTCGGGTCGCTTTGTATTGATTCCAAACGCAAATGTTTCTTTATCAGCCATTGCTTGAACTTGTGATTGTATTGCTGCTGAGACTCTCCGGGGTAGAGCGGCATGGGGATCGCTTTGGACTGCGAGTGAGTGGGGGGACCGCGCGAGCGCTCGAATCGTTCTTGACGGAAGGCCTCCACTGACAAAACACGTTTTAACAGTAGGCCTTCTCCACTGAGAGTCATGCTGGCGCTGGCGCGGGTGTCGAGACGGTGTTTTAGAGGAACCACCTCCAATTTGGGAGAGACCAACACACTGGCTCGCGTTAACTTAATGATGACGATTTGTAATAAAGCCATACCATTACATCACCTTGATCCCAAAAATCTGTTGCTTTCCATCAGTTTTGACACGGCAATGACATTGTCAATTCTTCGTTTGTTTTTCTATCGATAACCGATTTTTTTTTATCGTAGGAATACCTCCTTTTACAAACACTATTGAATAAATTAGCGTTTTCTCTTCTTATCGGCACTTAGCGCCATAATTCACCAACGTTCTTGATTGCTTTCACGTAGCCTGGTCTGGTTGTGGACGCGAGCGTGAAAGGTGTGCGTTTATATCAAGCAAGTCTTCTACGGTCGCTTACTCTTCTCCAATAACTTTTTGACCATCTTTTGGATCTCCTCATCGCATCGCAAAAAAGTTGCCAGAAGTTGTTGCTGCTCTCCTTCCAGAGCTGTTCTCTCCGTCGTTAGCTTATCCGATAATCCTCGCAGCAGTATCAAATGTCGAGCCGAGTCCGACTCCATGAACGAAGCTCTCACTGCCTGAACTTGATCATTCACCTGCGTTTCCAATTGCTTCAACTCGGCATCATTTTCTTTAATTCGAGACGAAAGCGCCTCCCATTTCTCATGCTTTACCGATCCATTCTGTGACACAATAGATTCTTCAGCCAGAATCGAAAGCAATGCTTCCCGACGCCCAGACCAGCTATAGACGATTAAGGCAGACAACGCGGAAGCTCGTTTCTTCTTTTCCTGGTTAACCGAGACAACGAGCTCCATAATCTGGCTGTGGTGTTCTGCAGCGCTAGCTTCATCGACGTCTTTAATGGTCTTCACGTATTCAAGGGCATCGTCAATTGCTGTCTGATTTGCAATGATCTGAGTGTTGATATAGTCATATTCCGCTATCAGTCTCCGCTTCTCAGGATCATCTTTCACGATGAAGCAAGTATCATCAGCATTAGGAAAGAGCATTCGTTGTAGAATCTCAATAGCAGTTGAGTCCTTCGTCTCTGTTGTGAGCTCTTCATCCATGATAACTTCGTTTTTAACATCAACCGAACGTGTTCTTGGTGATGATGATAGTCTGCTGTCCACGAGCACCACACTCGATTTAATAGCAACCGAATTGTCAGTGTCCATGTTTTCTGGTTTTTCGGTACTTGGGCAAGATTGTTCAAGAGGAGGTTTAGCTTTGTGAGAACCGCGAAGGGTCTTGATTTCGTGTTGTAGTTGATCTACCATGTTCTGGAGATCCTGTACTTGCTTGATAAGTTGTGCAGCCCAGGCAGGGGGACTGTCGAAATATGCTTGAAATTCTGAGCTTTGCTCCGTGCGTGTTGTATCGGCGTTTATTATTTTTTCTGATCGATCGGCGCTTGATATCAAGGGAGCAGGTTCAATTTTTTCATATTTACCGTCTAATGAACGATGCGCTGGTGATTTCAGCGAGCTATTGGTCCCAAATTGCACTTTGGGCAAGAAAGAATTGATATCATCGCTTTTTCGAGCTTCAATCGTGTCGATCTCTGTTACAGATTTTGTGCATGAGGTATTTGGCGAAGTTTGATCGCCATGTCGATGTTGAACGTCATCTTGTCGCGTGGATGACTTTGCGGGCATCGAATTCTCCGATTTTAATAGCGATATTGAAGTATTCTTACCGGAAGCAAGGACATTCAAAAATTGCTCAGGAGAAACCATCCGATGTGCCTGTAATTCGTTACTACGCTTTTCTACGGCCTTCTCACTTGTAGTTTGACAAGAGCGCACTGATTCATGCCGTGACGAGTGTTTACCTTCTTTGGTAACTTGATGCAACTCGTTGTCGCGTGACTTCGTCGGATTCGTGCGGGTTTCATACCCCACTCACGTGTACTTGAGCTGTACGACCACTCTGATCTTTGTGCAAAGGATTTCTCTCTGTCGTAGCTTGAGGATTCACTATAACGCATGCGTTTATTGCTGTTGCCTGACTGTGGCCCATAGAACGATGACAGTCCGTCCATATCGCGCTGCAGCGAGGCCTTGTTCCCGCATGCACCCGCTCGTTTATGAGCGAAGGAGAACCAGAACCCGCGCTCTCGACAGATATCATAACGCAACGATGCAAACGTCTCGTTCTTCGTTAGAAGCCAACTCTCAAACGCTCGCGTGTACTGCTGCAACGTCTCGCCAGCGTGTAACGGGACCGGGATCGCCTTGGACACCGGTCCCGTAGATTTTTTGTTCCATCGGTCAAGCATTTCGCGCTGCAATTCGCTCACAGTCGTCAGGCGCTTTGCTAAGAGGTCGCGGTTGGGCTCATCTACCCGCGAGCGGGGCGGTGAGCGCAAGGAGCGTTGCCTGGATGGACTGGGGGGCTGGTGAGTCATTCCGGCGCTTGACTGGTTTGTTGAACTGTGCGAGTTGAGCAACCTAAATCGGAGTGTAAAACAGGGTGCTTTCTCTTAAAAATAAAAAACGACTCAGCTAGATTTTTGGAGCATAAATTACTCATTTTTCAAGAATTAATTCTCAGTTTGTCAAATCAGGGTGCTACCGGTCAGAGATATGAGATCCGTAGTCTGGTACCACAGCAAAAGAGGAAGGAGCATGAACGCCTTTATCCGGTCGTTCACATGAGAGTGTCGAAGACAATAAGACCCTGACTTTGCGAATCGATGTCTTAATTTCAAAGACTTTTATCCTGTCGTATCCTGCTTAATATCCTTTGTAAAATCCGTATCCTTAATCCTGTGTTGAACAAGGATTACGCAAGATATCATGGCGATCTGCTAGCAGGATATTTGAAAATCAGGCGATCTTCACACTCTCAATAGCACTCTCCAGCTCGCTGCGAAGATGGGGTCCAAGCACTCGCGCCTCTCACATCAGCAGTCTTTAGACGGCAAGACTCCTCCTGCTGCGTCCAGACATCATGACAACCAGGAGCCGGAAGCGGAGATCTCAGCAGAGGCGCGTGCCGAGTTCACCGTAGACGACATCCACAGCCCCGAGAACACGCGCCGGGCGCAGATACTCCGAAGCAGCGACCACGACCGCTTCTGCAAGTACCGCAACTACTTCAAAAACCACCATATGTCACTAGCTCGAGAAGTGGGTCGCAAGACCAGCAAGAGCAAGGCCGAACTGCTCTGCTGGGTCGAGGACGCCGTGGGGCCCTTGGAAGCTGGCGATAAGTTCACCAAAGACGAGATACTGGAGATCGCTATGGTCTCTGTAGCTCTGACTGAGTATGGCGAGTCTTCACTGGCTAAAATGTACGACCGAGGCGAGCTGGATGCTCTGCCTAATATCCCTCTACACACGCATAATCTGCGTATGCCCGCTAAGCAGCAGGCCTGTCGTGACGGGTCCGACGCTGCAAACAAAGACAAACTAGAGGCAGCACACTATATCGGACTAGAAGTGATGCTGCGACTCAATGAACGACTGCCAGTGGAGCAGCGTATGGGTGAGGAACTGCGAGAAATCCTCAATCACCCGAGCAATCTCCGCCTTATGCTGGCGACGAGCAACCAAGTACTGCATAAGAAAGTAGACGCGTTGCTAATAAACGCTAATGATGTGTCCGTACCAGACAGTAAGCCACAACGCAAAATATCCGCGAAGGAGTACGACCGCCTGGTTCAGATTGCCAAGCACGCACAGGACCAGATTTTCCAGGACGCAATGATCGCAGCCAATGGCCACTACTTATACATAAGCTTGCGCGAACAGTTCAAGCGCTTGGATGTCGGCGACAGGCCGAAGTTGTGGGATAATGAAAAAGACAAACCCGAGCTTCGAAAGATTCCGCGATCCAGATACCGTTCGCCGTCACCCGTACCACGCCAGTCTAGAACTCCTCCGTCACCAGAGAAAAAGCGAGATCCTGAGCGTAGAATGGTACAGACCTCGTCTTCTTCTCCTCGAGCGAGCGAGAAGAAACATCGAAACCCATTCTCTCGCTTAGCATCGAAGATTTTCCACTCCCACAAGAAGAAACACGGAGCTACTGCACGCTCTGCGTCAACCGCACCGTTGCAGTCTGAAGATAAGGCGAACACTGCGAAACCAAAGATTCCTGTAAACCGACCTAAAAGTGGAGAAAAGAGGAATCCTTTGGCGACAAAGAACACAAAGCGTCAAGCGGGAAAGCCAAAGAAGTCAAAGCAGGCTCGTGATCCTGAAAAGGGGAAACGCCAACCTCGCACGACAAAGGCAAAGAAAACGACGAAGACTCCAGCTCCCCGTTCTAACCAAGACTCTGCTTCAGACGATGACTGGTCAGACGACAGCGACTATGTGGAGTCCGACCAAGACGACAACGATGACCGAGAACTCCACGTCGGCCCTCGTGGAGGCAAGTATTACCTCAACGCAGCCGGCAAAAAAGTGTACGTCAAGTAAGCCGGTTGGACCGTTCCAGATATGTACATACTGTAAATATCAAACGAATCTACTCCTCGGATCTATGAATACAATAATATTCATGTAGATACTGGAAAGGATGAGCCAGTTTCTGAGCAACGTGTAATCCATTAAAATATATCCTCGCTTATCCCAATTTTTTGTGTTTTCCATTTTTCGTAGCTCCGATTTCGCGCAGACAACTCACTTACTGCCTCAATCCGTTGTTCTCAAGCCTCGTGACGTTGGATTTGGAGCAAAACCTCCATCATCAGCTTTCGGATTTCGTCATCCCCTCGCATAAAGCACAGCAAGACATCCCGTTGATTTTCCTTCAGCAAATCTCTTTCAGTTTGCTCTTCCAATATCTTACCAGACACTTCCCTCAATTTCTTCAGTCTGAGAGATTTACCAGCTTCCGTGACGGAAGGAGGCAAAGTATTCACCAACTGAACTTGTTCACTAAACTGCGCCTCCAATTTGTCCAAGTCTGTAAATTTTCTCTCGAGGCGCAACGATATCTCCACCAGTTTATCGTGTTTGGCATTGCTCTTGTGCGTCGTTGATAAATCTTCTTGTAACATCGAAATCAATGTCTCCTCCTCTCCGCACCATTCATTGACAAGTAAATCCACTAATGCACTTGATCGTTTGCGCTTCTCCTGGTTGATCGAGACGACCAGTTTCATAATCTCGTTTCGCTTCTCAATAGCCTGAAAATCGCCAGCTTCTCTGCTTTCTTTAAGATACGCGAGTGCCTCGTCGATTGCCGTCTCACTTGCCGTGACTTTATTCGCCAGGAAGCAATACGCCTTAGTCAGCCGTCTCATCTTGGAGTTATCTTTCGTTTGAAAATGACTAGTGGATGCTAGATCGCCGTGAGGATCATTGGGTTCGTGAGTGAAGTTCTGAGTAAGACCCACGTCAAGTATACCTTTCTTCTCATCGGCTTCTTTGCCAACGGACTCAATACGATCTGGCAAAAAACTTTTAGCTTCACACTCCACACCATCACGCGGTTTAGCACATGATGCATCATCATACGAGTCACTTTGTGCAATTTGGAGATTGCGAAATTCTTGTTGAAGAATAGTGACTTGTCTTTCAAGTTTTCCCACACGATCAATGATCAACTCCGCCCATCTTGGAAGCGAATCCGACAATAACGTCCGTGTGCACGACACTTGCCTGTGTACTTCAGCGCTGCCAGGCTCAAGATCTGAATCGCTCGGTTGGCTAGAAAAGGTTTCGCTATCGGCTGGAACTAAATCCACGTCACCAGTTTCTTTGCGCCGCGATTCTTCTGATGCCTTAGGCAGTGACTCTTTTGAATCAGTCGTGCTATTCGCTCGTATCTCGGATTCACAATGGATGATACTGTGCTTGGTCTCAATTCTTCTAGACTCCATATTGTGGCTAATCTGTGAAAAATGACAGTGTTCGACTGCAGCAGCTTCACGATTCGCGGTGGGCTGTCGTGGTGATACTGTTGTAGCGTCTAGCCTGCCGTGACATCCAGCTGACCTTGTAGTTACTTTATCTAGAGCGAATTGACAGCGGAAGCCACGCTCTTTCAACGGCTGAGAGCGTAGAGATTTAATAGATTGATGGTGCTTGTACAGCCAGCAGCGAAATTCTTTCTCGTAGTCTTGGAACGTTTCCCCCGGATACAAAGGTACTGGTATTTTCCTTAGTTTCGCTGGTGGCTCGTAAGGTGACAGATTCTGTCTGCGCTCCAAGATTTCCCCCAAATATTCCTCTTGGGTGAGTACACGCTTCGCCAACACTTCTTTTCTGCTTCTTTGAGGCACAATTGGACCAACTTGACTCCCTGAACTACCTAATCCATCGTAAGGTTCATCTTTAATCGGTCCTTGTGAAGAAACTCCAGTCGATAGCGAGATGTTGCCACCCAGCTCTTCAGTTGCCAACTCACTTCGACTTGTAGTCACATGTAGATGTTCCTCAAGTCGCAACCTTTTACTCTCAGCATCATAGCAAGCGATGTCTGCATTATTTGGAATGCTTCTCTTTTTCTCGGGAACCTGCTGTGCTCTCTGGTACGCAAATGAAAACCAAAAGTTCCGCTCCCGACTCGGATCATTCCGCAGTTTAACCAAACTTTCACCTCGTTGGATCAGCCACCGCTCGAATTTGTGCGTGTACTGCTGGATGGTCTCGCCCGGATATAACGGTACTGGGATTCCGTTGGGCGACAGCATTTCCGAAATGTCCTTGTTTCGACGACAGCTAATATCTTGGCGAAAACTCTGCACGGTGGTCACTCGTTTGAATAATAATTGACTGCGATCTTGTCCACCTGACAGCGGAAAGCGAGGAGACTCTAAAGCGCGATCCATAGTTCACCGGACTTTGTCTTCAAGACGTTTGTTTGGTTTTGATGGGATCAGATTTGTTGATCTTTTCCCCAAATTATTATTTTTTTTTTACTTTTTGCTGTAAGAAATGAGAAACTGTTTTTTGAGGAGTCGGAAAGTTGAGATATCCTGCAATGGCGTCTCGTCGCTACATGACGCCACCTTTGCTGCAGCCTTCAGCGATGTTCTCTGTGGAATCATCCTGGGAAAGTTTCAACAAGCTTTTTGCTTCAATTGCAGACCCTCAGACCCAGAAAAACCATGCAAGGCACTTGGCACTCACGAAAAATATCCTCTACGAGAACGAGGCTGGGTAAAAGCGTTGGTTAGTTGATCTCTAGGGGGTTTGCAATTGTATTTGACACCGTTGTGCACTGCAAAATAGGTGGAAAGTGGCTGAGTTATCACTTGTCAGTGATCTGCTCCAACTATTGCGTGAGAAAGTTCTAGACGGAGTACCGCAGTTCGCTGAACAATTAATACTCGCAATCACAAGATGCTGCAAGGTAATAAAGACATACATAGGGGAGTTAGATAAAATTGAGCTAATCGGCATTCTTTATTGTAGCCGTTTATTCGACAGAAATCAAACGAGGAGATCACCAATCCAAGTCTGTTCCACGGTCTTTTACCCACTTTAGGTGAACTTCTGTCATTTGAGGACATTGAGGTTCAAGTTGCAGCAGCAGAAGCGCTCAGGATGTTTGCTACCGGCGCCTGTAAGTAAAATACCAGTTATTATATTTTAACTCTGCGATTTAAGGACGCTAACTTCCTGGTTCATCACAAGGTTTGGCTCGTCCTTCGTCAAAAGCGAGAAAGAACAACACTGAGTCCAAATCGGACGATTTGAGACTGACACCTCGTATTTTCAGCCAGAATCTGTTAGAAGAGACCGGCACTGTCGATGCGATTGTAGCAGTCATGCATGATCTCTTCCCCGATGATGAAATTGAAGAAGAAGAGCAAGAGATTCCACAAGATACTGAACCTGTGGAAGGAGATCCCGGGGTAGATGGTGATCATTTGAGTACAGACGTGAATGTTAGTGAACAACCGGGCGAAGAATTGATAAACAACGGAGATGCGGATGTAGAGAACAAATCTTTGGAGAATAATGTGGAAGACGATCTAGCTTTGGAAGAAAATAATACGGAAGTGGAGGAAATTGCCATTGAGGATGTGAAGGGGAATAATATGGTACGGTCTACGATAAAGCCTCAGTCGGCACCACCAAATGGCCACAAAGAATCTTCTCAGCTCGAGACGAGGGAAGTGGAAGGCGTTTCTAAGGAGAACGAGCGATCATTTCGCTCTACAAAACCAGCGTCAGCACCCAGCACAATCCACCGAGGCTTTAACAACAGAGTTGCAAAGACACAAGAGATTCACACCGACGATACTACTACGTCTGAACAAGATGAACCGAGTGTGAGCAGACCTGGTTCAGCACAAGAAGACCAACTACCGAATGCTGACAACACCGTGGGAGAAGAGATCGTGCGAGTGATTGGAAACGCGCTGCCGATTCAAATGAGGCTGTCTGCGTTATTATTCCCACTCATTGATCTGCTCTACGAACTATCGGGCTACCAGCGCTGTGCTGAAGTTCTTGTCGTGAGCGGTGCGCTCCACTACGTCGTGTTTATCCTCGAAAACGTCACGAACCCACAGGACGAACTTTTGCCTCTTTGTCTCGAAATCCTCTGGAATGTACTTGAACTTAGTCACGAGAAAATCTCCACGGTTGGCAAAGTTGGTTCCCGAAAAGAACTGCTAGAGGTGTTCCGGCTTAGAAACGCTGCGTTCTTTTTGGGGAACGAGTTCACGTTCCAAGCTCTTCTTCACGTACTGGAGTTACTGCTAGCTCGAGGATATCGACAACAAGACAAAGAGATGCGAAATGAGTGTCTGATGATCCTTCAATTACTCGCCAAGAGACGACGTTCCTTAGACTTCTTCTACTCCACAGGATTAACAGCGTGTCTGTTTTCCTACGCGACGTCAGCAGAACTGTCCCTTATTAAGGAGACTGGGCGTCAACAAGATAAATCCTCTGCTACAGCTTCAGCCATCACAGCGAGCAACCAATACTACGCAACAACTAGCGATGAGGACTTTGAATTTAAACAAATGATCTGGTTTCTATTAGCCGAGATCTCCTGCGATCACCAAGCGAATCTAAGCGAGCTAGTTCAATTCAGATTCCTCGAAATCTGGTTGTCATATGCGACTAGCAATAGCAATCAACAGCTAGATTCTGGAGCGCTTTACAGATCCTCTGCACTGAAATACTCAGCCCCACAGCGTCAGTTGTTACAATGGACGGCGCTCAGTGTGCTTAATCACGTGGCTCCGTTCGTAGTCGAGCACTTCTTCGAGATTGGTGGACATGCGAAGCTTCTCGATTTTCTTCAGCTCAATATGGGCACTGAGGATGTATTGGCGTCTGCATGGATGTTACTACTGCAAGTATCTCCTCCCGTTCCGTTTTTCCAAGTTGAACTGGGAAATCTTGGAGCTATCGAGACCGCTGTGGAGATTTTCGAGACTCCTCCTTCGCGCCATACGTTCGTAATTCGTCGGAATGCAATTCTTACGTGTGCTAGTCTGTGTCGTAACGATGGAGCGAATCGCGAGCGCTTCCGTCGTTCCAACGGCGTGTACGAACTCGTTCAGTATCTCGAGTTCCATCCGTCACATTCCGTTCTTGAGGAGAACATTTTAGTTGGAATATTAGACGCAGTGCGTTCTTGTGTGGTCGGAGATATCGAGAGTGAATTAGCGTTCATAAACCACGACGGAGTGCCCAAGTTACTATCGATCATAGCAGCAGCACCCAAAGCATTGAAGCATCAGGCGTTGGCTGCACTTGCTGAGCTTTCAGTGAACCCAGCAGCTATTCCGTCGTACCAAACGTGGCGCTGCGAGCAGCATGGCAATAACTACAATACAAGCGCGAATGAGATGCTGCTTCACCTCTACGCAGACGAAGAAGCCGCCGAGAAACGCGCAAACCTGGACGTAGTCGACAACGACAAAGCAGCTTCACAATCAAGCATTAATGTCCGTCACTGCGCCTTCCAGTCGATCACACACTGCAGAAGTTCGTTCATCATCGCGTCAGAAAGCAGCACTTCAAATGAAGATATAACGCCACCAAGTCGACCGGAATCTCCAGCTTTTGCACGACTGAAAGACGCACTCAAAGCAGCGCAGGGGCTCTCACAGGACAAGCGAACATCTCGCTCCGTTTTGGACTTGGAAAGCCATCAAATTCACCCTGAAGTGAACCTGAAGGCCAAGATCTACTCCGTCCTGGCCAATGTTTCTTTCGATTGTGAGACTGAGAGCTTATCTCCTCAAGACCAGGTGATGCTGGAGATCGCCAAAGAGTATCCGACATTCAAGCTTGGAGAGATGTGGCAAAACGTGGAGCGTACACTTCATGCTGAACGTGTGCGTCCAATTTATGCAGATGCGCTGTATATCCGCAAAAACATGGAGAACGCGTACGATATCTCAGTGTGCACAAAACTGGCACAGCAGGAAGTGTTCGCACGCACTCGCCAGCAAAATACTGAGCGTGAAGACGAATTTTTCATGCAAATTCTGCGCCAGAAACACCAGGAAGCTCAAGCAGAACAGTTCCATCGTGCCAACCGGCGGCAGAACTCCACTATGCAGCTCCATTTGGATGCTAAAAAGACACGGTTGGAGTTCATGCGTCGACAAGATCCAGCGGCTTTTGCAGCTTATGAGAGCGAGGAGCGCTGTCTGATCCGTGATCCTCCACCTGAATACGTGGACGATCAAGAGGGACTGCGAACGTTGCAGCAACACGAAGCGGAGCTGCGAGGTCGACTCTGCACTATTAAAAAATCTCGCAAGAACACAATCTTGTCGCTACCAAAGATGTCGAGAGATCTCTGTTGAGTTAGTCGACGAGATCGGCACTTTCAGCGCGTAGATCTTCCAAAACCTCGTTGATGCGGACTACACACTCGGTATGTTTACCATTGAGCGTCTCTACAGATCTCTCCAAGAAGGCAACGGTAGACTCATCGGGGTCTGGCTGCTTCAATGCATCGGTAAGTCTCATCTTCTCGATCAACACGGCAGACGTCTAGATAACATACATACAAAATCAACATCAATAACAAAACAGCATCATAATAGTCGCCATGCATCCTACCAGAAGAAGCTTCTCCTTCTCCTCTAGCTGAATCTTGCGGATAAAATCCGCGATTACTTGCTGCTTCTTGTCTCGTAGATGCTTCTCCACTTGGTTAATCCGTTCACTCACAGCCGAAAACCGCTCTGTAATGCCAGAACCTGACAGTGATAAAGGGTCAAGACAGAATGCGAGAGTTGTTAGCATAAAATAATGGAATTTGATACAACATTGGACGCACAGAATGCGGGGAACTGCTCCGTCTTCTGGTGCACTTGGAAACCCCTACGTAATCCAATGTACATTGAATATCCTACTCCAAAGTCTAGGGTTTGAGTGATATATGCACGACGCACTGTCTAAAGTCGGCGTAGATCTGGACGCGCGTCTCCTGCAGCCCGTGGAACGTCCGCACCAGCTCTCGGGTGCTCAGCAGCGTTAGGTCCTCGAGCTCCTCAGAAACGACAGTTTCTTCGTGTTCGACAGCATTCACGTCCTGCGGCTTGTCCTCTGCATGCTTCTCCTCCTCACAGTGTTCGTGGGCGTGTGCAGGGCGGGAAGCCAGCAGCGAGAAGCACTCCTGGAACTCCATGGATAATGGTAAGTTATCAAATAAAAAACGGATTTTCACTCATACCGTATGGTAATAATCCGTTTTTTTATTTTTTTTTTTGCTACCGGTAATGTAAAAAAAAATGATGGCTACATGTACGATTAAAGTGTACGTACGTTCATAAAACTGTACGATGAGCGTTTTTTTTTCTTAATGCCTAGCACGCTTCACCCAACGATCCGTCCTTCGGAATGAGCCAGCAGTGACCCAATTTGGCCCCACCCTTGACTGTGTTGGCTTTGTTCGCAGCAAAGACCCAGTCATCGTCAAAAGTCACGAATTGCAACTTCATCTGTTCTGCTGCGAACGAAAGCTCGAAAATGCCGTAGGGGGCATTCTCGCCACGCCAGATCGGTTTGATCTCGGTAGCGTATGGAGGTGGTTCACCGATACTTTCGCTCTGGATGCCGCCACCAGCTCCGTTCGTCACGAAATGCGTATTAAAAGACCCGAACTCGTGACTTTCGGCGTGGGTGTGGCCATTCATGTAGAGATGAATGCCACCTTTCTTCAGAATGCTGTTCACTTCTGCCATCATTGTCGGGTCCATGTGGAAGTGAGGCGAGTAGTGCGTGTTCACCACTTTCCATGTCGCGGTGGAGGTAGCAGCGTCTCGTGCTAGTTGTTTCAGGGAATCAGCTTGCCACGCTGCAATCTGTGCCATGCAGGCATCGAACATGTCCGTGTCTCCTCCGGCGCACAAATCGTCACCACGAGCCACATTCGAGCAGCTCTGACTGCCTCCGTACTTCATTTTGTAGCCGTAGCACTGACAACAGGTTTGCTGGGCACCGTGAACAGCCGCAGCGTTCGTGTCGATGTTAAAGACGTCGACTGTAACTCCAGAGTCTGGATCTTCCAGAGTCTCAACATAGTAACGATCGGGCATTTGCCAGCGGTCGTTGTTCGGACTCACGTATTTGCTCTGCCTCGTGAACTTCTCGTCCAGTTGCTTGAGTAAATCGGTCTTACCGGAGCACTCGACAAACTGGTTGTCTCGTTTACCACAAATGAACATGGATCCGCCGATATCGTGGTTACCGGCTACATTGAACCACTTGATGTTCAGCAGCGCAGGGTCCGAGTACATGGTCTCGAATGAGTTGAGGAAGCGGTAGTTTACATCATCGGATCCCAATCCATTCCAATAGAAGTTGTCCCTGTATAAAATAGAACAGTGTTAGAATTGTCCACATACTTGGAAGGTTTGAAAATTCGGCGTCATACCCGTGTCCGAGAATTGCTTTAGGCTGCAGCTTCTTAGTCGACAGTGTTAGTAGATGAGCGACATTCGTCTGTGCCTGTTGGTCCTTGTAGTACTCCTTGTTCCCGGTGCCCGTCTTACGGTAGACATTGCAGCACGAACCGAGACCAAGATCCACGCCCCAGTCTCCAATAGCCAATGCGTGCAAGTTATACGTCGCGGTGTGAGACACCGTTGCTGCAGCCTTCGAGCTAGAACTTGAACTTGAACTCGTAGTGCACTCGAAACCTAAGAACGCTGTCGCCGCAGTACTCGAGCAGATAATCGGAGTGACCAAATCGTTTCCTGTTTCAGCTTCAGCGACTTCACTCAAACCAACTCGAGCTGTCGCGCGGAAGAAATGAGGATCGAATTTCGTCGCGAAGCATAGCAGCATCAACCGCGCAAACAATACGGACACCAACACCACAACTTTCATTGCAGCGAACGAAGCAATTCAAGAATGAAGATATCATAGCGGATCCAGAGGGTCGCAATCTCGACCGTTCGCTGCAGGACCACCAGAACTCTTTGAAAAGGTTTCACAAATTCATGCCGCTTCATCTTCTCCAATTGAGCGGCAATCAGTGATCTCCATCACTCAGACGACCTTCTCTATCTTTAGTCTCCAAGGGAATATTGTTATCGTTCCTGGTGTTGATGATAGATGGTATCACCACGCACTATTTTAATACCAATCCGACAAACACCCCCGAGCCTAGAACCAAGCTGTCGGAGTCATACTGCAACGAATAATCGCTGCAAGTTGATTGACAAGGTTCAGCAGCATGAGCACGTTCGATTCGGCCGAGGGCCATCGACGAGTCCACATTATCGATGATCTTCTGGGAGCTGTTTTGGTGCTTGCGGCGTTGGGTTTCATGTTGCTACTCGAGCTCACACGAAGGCGAATTTGCGCTGTATACCAGTTGGCGTTCGTACTCTGTGCCGTCTGCACGTTCTTCATCTTTGGTGGAATCGTGGATCATCACTTGACCAACGAACAGCTCACTCTTGCGCTCTACGGCTCCTACCTGTCCAGTTCACTCACGACGTCGTACGTGTATCTGCCAACATTGGCGGCGCTGGGTGTTTCGTTCGCTGCACTTGTCCAGCTGTCGCTCTGTTCCTGTCAGTGCTGCTGTCTTGTGGGTGCTGCTAGCGTCTCGCACGGTAACTGCTTCGCTGCGCGGATACGAGCCAACACGTCGTTATACAGCACCAGCTTTGTTGCGCTCATTGGAGCAATCGGTGTAAGGCTGAACGCGAGGTTACGTGAATCGGCCATCAACCCACACGGTGGAACTGTACATTGGTCCTTGCTGCGTGCTCCATTTTTCTTGGCCATGGCGCATATCGGAAGCTTGCTGTTCGTAGCACTCAAGCTCTTCTTGCAGCATGTACGACGCTTTTTGAATCCACATTACTCATACCATCGTCTCACATGATGTTTTGCTCGATTCAGGCGGACAAAGCACCAATAGAAGCCCCAAGAGCTGAGTTCATGCTAGATCAAGTGCCGGCAACAACAGTAAAAGACTTGGCACGCCCACCGCCGGCATCTGAAAAGGTCAGATTGCAGTTTGACAAGGGGAACGCGTTTTCTCATCATCCTTACTCCTTTGGCTGTTGTCGTGTACGCCACAGCTCCCACCAATGTCCACGTCGTTGGAGAAGAAGGTCAACCGAACTCGAAGTCCGACAAATTCTTCTGCTGCAGCGGCGCTAGCTGATGCACTCGCGGCTCGTGAAGGGCAACGTCGCGAGTTGCAACTTTCAGTCGCAGCTTCTCCAGATCGCGTCAAACGTTCGAACAACAACAACGAAGGCGACGTATCTTCACTCATTAGCAGCGACAGCGAGAATGACGATGAAGTATTACAGCCAGTATTTAAAAAATCCGTGGCTGCTGCTGTTCGTCGAGCTGCGAGTCCACACCGGTCAGCGTATTCGGGATACTCCTCAAGTCCACCAGCGTCACCAACATCTTCGATCGATTCGACCCTATCGACATCCCCAATTGCTAGAGCACGCGCGAGGTTATACCGTAACGGCAGCACAACCAGCGAGTCAGTCGCCTGGAGTGACTACGAAGACACATTAGATAGACTATCGGCTCGAGATTACTACAGCGATCGCCCATCGACGGCATCGTCCACGTCCACCGCTTCAATACACGGACTACGCCGTCGTGCCAAGGCCGCAAACAACTCATCTTCGTCGATGGCTTACCGACATTTAACAGCGCTGCCGCAGCTCGTAGAAACAAGAGCACAAGCGCCATCTGACTCACCGTGGATACCGTGTGTCGACCCTGCCAGCGGGAGCACGTACTACTACAATCAACAAACCGGTGAAAGTCGCTGGGACCTGGTTCAGCTCTAACAAAATGATAGCACCGTTTAGTCTTACACAAAATTCGCACCTGCTACCTTAGACTTTGCCCACGTAGCGGTGGGTAAGCTTGTAGTTCGTGTCCAGAGTCTTGAGCAACGACTTGCCAGTGGAATCCAACGCACTGAATAGCTGTTCCTTCTCGTACGGTGAGCACACGTCTAGTAATGCAAAGACGCCGGGTCGCAACTTCTGCTGATATCGTACGACCAGCTTTTCGCGAGTTACACCCAGCAGGAACGCCATCAGGAGATAAACGACATGCTTTCGGAGCTGGACGTCGTGTTCCTTCATGTATCCGTACAAACGTGCCAGGTTCGAGCTCCATTCCGAGCAATACTGCGCATAATCAGATCTTGCAGAGGTCAGCACTAGCAGCTGAAGTAGTGCGTTTGCTGCCTGAACGAGATGGGGAATATCATTCACAAGCGACGCGAAGTGGTTACGCACGATACGTAACAGCAGTGTGTACGAAAGCGTCCACACCTCATGCAGCTCTTGTGGGTCATACGTGTTGGTGCCAGCTTGCCAGCACGATACCGTCGCCACTAGCGGTTGGAATCCAGTGAAAACGTACTGCAGCTCGTGAGTTTTCCACGTGAAAAGCTCAGCTTTGCAGAAAACCAACACAAAGGCCTTCAGGTTCCAAACGCGCAGTGTAGCAGTGCTGTTACTAGAGTCGACACCGCCGTGCAGCGACTGAATAGCAAAGTTCTGGAGCAAGGCCTCGACGATAGTTACCTTGCGCTCACTCAGAAGTTGTCGCCTTGATGCGTTGAGCTTTCGGTCTCCACCCAACAGCAAGCATAACGCACGCAGTGCACCCATCTTCCGTTTGCTTCCGTGTGCTACGAGTTCTTTAACAATCGTCGACAACAGCAGACGAAATTCTTCTTTGTTCGCGTTGGCCACCACAGCTTGCAAAGCTCGCTCTGCCTTCTGATCGCAATCACTGCTCGATACAAGTGAAAGCGACACTGCCAGCAGACATCCATACGTCTCAAGAGGAGTCACAAACGCGCGGAATGAAGCGTATTCTTCGCAGAAGTTCGCGAAAAACGACCAAGCTGCTTCCCGGAGCTTAATATCACTTGTGGAGCCGCTGGCATCAGCAACCAGCTTCATTGAAGATGCCAAGGCACCTCCAATACGTTGTAGCAGCAATGACATCACTCGATCATCGGCAGACGTCGACGGGTGCTGCTTGTTGTTGTGTGCTTCTTTGTGGATGACAGACTGGTACTTGAGGAGAGCAGTAAGCATCTGGAAAGACAAGGGGCTGTCGGTCGACTCGAACATTTTCTCGTGGGTGACAGCATCGACGACACGCTCAATAAAATCCTTCTCCTCCTTCGAAGGACCTGGTGCGGTACCAACGTACGCAGCTATTGCTTCCACCACCATTGCAGCGCACTTAAGTTTTCTTGTACTATCTGTGCGCTCACTCTTTGCAGTTTTGCTGCTCAAAACGCTGCTCAGCAATTCGCCAACAAAAGCATTGGAGCCAATTTCCGAATAGTATCCCAATATTTCCGCTACGAGAGACACGGCGATTGCACTGTCAGTCACAAGCTGAGAGACAATGAAGCTGGCTCCGTTCTGTAGCTGTTCCACACGTTTTGGGAGCGTCTGCAATTCCTTTCCAACTACCTTGAAGTGTAGCTGAATCCAGGTCAACAAAGTCTGGCAGGCCTCTGACTTGTGGGCATCATTGCTGTGAAATGTTCTAAGCACAACGTAGAGAGATAAAGCAGCTGCCAATAGATCCCCACATTCCTCAGGCTTGAGATAACTGCCCGGCAGTTCCAACAAGAAGCTGAAGAAGCGAAGAGGTATCTCCATGCTCGTCAAAGACTCACGCTTTCCTTCATCCACAAACTGTTTTGCCAGGGTAGCCAAAGCTTCGGGTGCAACCTTCCGTAGACTGGCGATTTCATAAAACCCAGCGTCGCTAATGATGCGCCGAGCGGATCCATCGTGTACGCCTGACACCGCTTCGCTAATAAAACCATTCAAAATTTCGCGGAAAAAGCGACTACAGTCACCGCTGCTTGCATTTGCCATCAACTCCGGCAAGTGAAAGCTCACTGCTTCCCAGCACTTCCAGTTAATAACATATTCCACAACCAAATGCGTCACTTTCTCTCGCCCTTCTCTCGACACTCCGATCTTGCGTAACCAATACACGCAAAGTTTGACTATTCCTGCAGCACCAAGCCCATGAGTCGAGCTGATATTGCTCGGTACAACTTCGGAAGATGTAACCTTGCTAACTTTCTTCTTCTTCTTTTTGGTGCTTGATGAAGCAGTATCCAGCAGTTGTTCCATCACCGAACCAAATCTATCGCCTTCAAGCCTGGCAAACATCTGATCAAATGTTTGTTCGCGAACGGAAGCGTTTAACACCGAGTCAAACATCAGCAGCTCTCCGAAAATACAGAATAGCTCTCGCTGGTATGATGTGAATATCACAGTAACTTGGGTTAGTTCGTCAGCAAACGCAGAGAGCAGCTTTTCGTGCGTATAGGATACAAGTCCCAACACTTTACTGCGGTTTTGTGGCACCACGTGAATTTCTTGGACGAAAGTCTGAAAGAGCAAGCGCGCCACTGCAACTCCACGTCCAGTTTCCACATCATCGTCACCTGATGCAAAAGAACCGATCTGCTCCACAAGCAGCTTCCACAGTACATCTATCTGGCCTGGCGGTAAGGCCATAAACGCTTTGCGTAGAGTAGCTTCGCAAGAAGGAAGTGCAAATAACTTGTACAAACCTTCGTGGGCCCGTTGAATCGAGAAAGCGGCCTTCAAAAATGCATCCAGGAGACGCATGGAATCGTACGCGTGAATCAACTCCACCACTGCGTTGCTGGCAGCCGCGATAACCTGGACACTTCTACCACTTTCATAACTCTTGAGAGCCTGCGCACCAAGCAACTCGAAAATTGGCACGAGGCAACCGTTAACGAGATTGGGAGAGCACCGCACAGCACTGGACACAGCCTCACACTCCTCTGAAGCTCGATCAGCGTTGTCAGAAACGTCATCACTGTGCTCGACAGTGAGCACATCCAGAAAAGACGAAAGCACTTTCTCCATCGTTTGAAATTGTTCGCGCTCCTCCGTGTCTTCCGTCACACGGTACACATCACATTCACACAACGCGCGGAACAACGCGTTGTACAGTGTCACCAAAACTGGCAGGAATTCATTCTTCTCTGTCTCCTGCTGGAAAGCTGAATACGCCACTGCACACAACTCAGACCAGAACTTGAACGGCGAGTACGTAGTTGACGTGGTAGCGATGACGATGGCAGCGCGCTTCCGACTTGTCTTCAGATCCGTCTTGGTATCCTCAATTTTTGTGTTGGCGGCCACACGGATACGAGTAGCGAAACCACACACGAGCACCTCAAGGAATCCACCGACAGAAGCCTTCACCTCCATCTGCACCTCTTTATTCGACAGCAAACTCAGCAACTCGTCGAAGAGGTTCTTCTGGTAGGACACCAACCCTGACGAAGCCTTGGCTCCTCCTGCTTTCCGTCGCTTCTTGGACTTCTTGTCGTCCTGTTCTTCCTGTTCAGTGTCGTGTTTATTACCATCTTTCTTCCAGATAGTGCAGTGCACCATAGCACCGTCATACTGGCGAATGTGTTCAGCGTCGAACAGAGCGTCCTCCACGACACGGTCCAGCAAAGCCGTCGCGGCTTCCACGCCAGACACACCCTGCTTCTTCAGCGTCACAAGAGCGTGGCGATAAGATATAATGTCCCGTAACGACGTCTTCGCAACGGCCAAGAAGACCTTCTTCTTATTCGTCTGTGTCTTCTGCAACTCCTGAAACACGAACAGTGCAGCATGCACCACATCCACGTACAATTCCTGCTGTTGCGTCCTCCTCTCGTCTTCACCATGTTTCTCGAGCTGCTTCAGCGCCTCAAACGCTGCAGTCAGCGCACGCTTGAGGAAATCCGCGTACACGTTTGTAGGTGGACGATACATCTGGAAACTGGCCGTCGTACCCTCATTAGAGAGCCCAAAGAGGAACCGGAACACAGCCTTAACGTCCTGCAGTGTTTGTAGCGTCTTTTTATCCTGTTGGACCTTCTCCAGCGTCTCAGCCAGAGCTGAGAGCAGCAAATTGCACGAATTGAGCGGTAGCGTCGCGAGCTGTGCGTCGCCTTTAGCAGAGAAGACGTTGAGTGCCAGCTGCAACAGACGCAATGCTTGGCGTGTCTGCTGTGCGTCATCACGCTTGGCTTTCGTGATCAGAAACACGGAAAATTGCAGTACTTCGGAGGTCACACGTTGCCACGGCAGATTGAAGGTGCGCTCCGCACGGCTTAGAGCGCTTTGAGGACCGAACAGCCCGTCGTCGTCGGGTTGGAGCAATGCCACACCAGTCTGCAGCAGATCCGCGTCACCTTCGTAGCCGCGGCGGGCGCGCTGCCACCGCACGAGCGTCAGAGCGGCGTCCCAAGCGAAGCTCTGGGTCATGCTTGGTGTGAAGCTTCCAATGCGGAATTGGTGGAGCCGTGCTGGTCAGTTGAACCTTAATTGGTGTGAGCCACATAAAGGCAACCATTGAAGTTGATAAATTTAGAGCAACAATTCTGTGCCAATATCGGCGCGACTTTAAAGAGCTCCGAGTAGATTGAGCGACAGCCACCAGGGACCATTCCGGATCTAGTAGAACTCGTGTCTACCACGTGCCCGTGCGGCCAGTCGTGGTCCGACTCGCGAGTCAAACATTTCTGCCAACTTATTAACAGTGAAGCAGTGCCGGTGCCTACCAAGTCTAGTCGAAGCGGTTCAGCCACGACGTCCAAGAAACGGGTCATGCCAGCCGGACAGAAAGTAGTAGCCGAGCTCAAAGTCGATACAACGATGACCAGCAAGAATTCCCTACCAGAGACATCCTCTCCTACAATATCAGAGTTGAAAGCTGAGGCTACCCCTGCTCCTGTCGTTCGGAGAGGCGGAACGTCCGAGAACATTCAAGTTTTCATACGCATTCGTCCGTTGATTGAGCGAGAGACTTCGCAAGAGCGATGTGCTGGATCTCACTTCATCTGCGCTACCGACCACCAGGTTCGTCCTAGCTTTCCGGTATTGACCAAGGTCGAAATGTAATTATTGTGGTTTTCTGTTGTCAGACTATCGAAGTACGCACGTCCGAATCCACTATTAAGTGCGCATACGATGCCGTCTTCGATCACACCTTTTCACAGGAACAAGTGTACGAACGAGTACATGAGTGTACTCAGTCTTTCCTTGAGGGCTTCAATTCGACACTATTCGCTTACGGGCAGACTGGAAGTGGTAAATCTTTCACAATGTTTGGTGCTGAGGCGGATCTCTCGCGATATAGACCAGGTCTGCAGAACAGCCAGGCAGGTATCATCCCGCGAGCTATCAAGGAAATTTTTGCAGCTACCGTGAAAATGGAGGCGGATGCTCAAGCAACAGTATACTGCTCGTTCGTGCAAGTTTACAATGAGCAGATCTTTGATCTATTGCGCGATACTCAAATGAACACACCCCTGGAGATCCATGAAGACCGCAAGAACGGGATATTTGTCGAAGGGCTGTCAGAATACGCAGTACGAAGCGTTAGTGACTGCCTGCAGCTGCTGCAATGTGGTGAGCAGAACCGTGCTGTGCGTTCTACTCACATGAACCAAGTGAGTAGTCGTAGCCACAGCGTATTCCAGCTACTTCTCGAGCAGAGACGAAAGGATGGAACAGCTCTCAAGTCCAAATTCAATCTCGTTGATCTTGCTGGTTCTGAGAAATGGAATATGGGCGCCGAAATGCGAGAGCACCACATCTCGGAGATGACCAACATTAACCTAAGTTTGCACACTCTTGGACGCTGTATTGCCTCGCTGTCTAGCAAGTCAACAGGAGGGTCTACTCATGTGCCCTATCGCGACTCGAAGCTAACTAGACTGCTTCAAGATAGTTTGGGAGGTAATACCAAGACCAAGATCATAGCTACACTGTCACCATCTCTGGATTGTGTTGAAGAATCTATCTCCACTCTCAAATTTGCAGACCGAGCGAAGAAGGTTATGGTTATGGTACGTGTTAATGAGCAGCGAGAGATCGACCCAGCATACGTGGAGAAACTGCAAGAAGAACTTGAACAGTTGCGTGAAGTTGTTCGATTACTCCAACTCCCCAATAATACCAGCGATTGCAAAGACGAAGGTGAAGGCGATACTGACAACAATAATGATAATCATGAGGAGAACAGTGAGCAGGCTTCTGCTGGTTTAAAAGCTAGAGTCGTACGATTGGTTCATGAAAACACTGAGCTCAAGCATCAGAACGACAGACAGCAGAAAGAACTGGAAAAACTTCGAATGCAGCAGTCATCTCAAGGAAACATCATGCCATTGAACACTCCTGATCCACAAATCCTACAGGCAAAACAGGTTAGTAAAACCACTTATTGAAGCTTGTTCAAGAGGCTCATACTAACAGAAGTCATGTGTAGCACTTGGAGACTACAGTTCGTCAGCTAAAAGATGCCTCCGATCGCTTTTTCCGCTTTGAAATCGAGGAAGAGGAACTCAAAGTCATCCATGCGAGACTTTTTCAGGGAGTTCAAGCAATTCCTAGCTATCCGCCGTTGTCTACGTCTCTCTCGCCGTTATCAACAAGTAGCAGGTCATCTAGCGGCGGCAGCATTGTAAAACCTCGTCCACGTACGTTAGAAAACCTAGTTCAACTTCCTGTTTCAGGTATCTAACCTACTGTTTGGGTTCGCAGCTGTGAAGCTCAGATCTTTCGGGTCGTTCACACCTTCTGGATTTACAGCCAAACCATCGGCCCCCATGGACATGAATTATCGAGTACGAGGTCGTTCATCCAGTACAGATACGAACGGTAACGGGGAATGTTGGAAAAACGATATGCAAGCGGCACCTGCTTTGACTGTCGAGAAGGAACTCGAATTATCAAGGAAAGCTATCGAGAAGCAAACAAAACTACAGAACTGGCTGATCGAGAAGGAAAGGAGAGAGATTCTCAAGCTTCAACAAGAGCAGCAGTTCATCGACGAACAGCGCCGATACGCTGCCGAAAAAGATGCCAAGTTTTTCAAACGAGCAGCAGCAACGAAGAAGAAGCTGCTTCTGGCTTCTGCTGCGACTTCGGCCTCTTTTGATTCTCAAAGTAACAAACCAGCCACAGCTGAAACGTGAAGACATGAATCTCTATTTATCACGTGTAGATCAAAATCTATAGAACCCCAAGTGCCACATTCTTGTATGTCTTTCCCATGAAGCTCACGATAGCGATCGTCTTTTGTGGACGACCAATAGAGTCGTTGGTGATCTTGGTCTTCCCGTTCGGACCTTGGGCGGTCTCGAAGGCCAGAGCAGCATGAGCATTGGTCGCGAAGGTCACATTACACGACCCGCGGTTTTGGTTCGGCAGCCATACAATCTTCTCTACTGCGGTGGGCACGATATTGGTGTTCTCGATGAACCACTTTTCGATGTCTTTGCTGGACAAGCCCTTCGGGATTCGATGCAACCGCAAGCGACAGGACCGTGCGATCATAGCTTCGGACTTGTGTTTCCTGGTTGTCTCGATTGCGGCCATGTCGATGTAGGACGCGTCGTTCACAGGGATTTTTACGGGTGTGGGTTTGGCGGGTTCACGAGGTTCACCAGGATGATAGGCTGTCGTAACAAGCATGGCAGGGCCGGTGTATTCTGTCCGTTCCGTTATCCTCGTGGCTTCGCGAGGTTCTTTGACACGAGGTCCATGCAACTCCAGTGCTGAAGGGATGATCCTTCCGGTTTCATGTCGAGCAGCATACTTGGCTGCCATCATTGAAGCTTGAGCGTCAACAGTACTGTCGTGGCCTTGGGGCATGTCAAAGCCAAGCAGGGCTTTGGTGAGATCTTTCAACCCGGGCGTCGCGCGGGTCGGACTTCCGTCTTTACGTTGGAAGATGAGTGCCGTGTCGATGACGCGTCGGTGATTGATGCGCATGCTTGCCAGATCTCCGTACACCGAGTGGCCAACCACGATGGTGTCTTTGTTGATGTACTTGAGCATCTTCTTCTGTGCCTGCGCCACTGTGATCTTGCAGCTGGCGATCTGTACGGGCGTGATGCCGTGGATGTCCGTCTTGGGGTCCACCATGTGGAAACCAGGCTCAGGTTGGTGCACAATGAAGTCTGAGATGATGTTGCGCAGCATATTTTCGCCGTCCACCGCTGATACGCGGCACAGCGCGTTGGTTTTGCGCTCACAAGTACCCTCCTCTTGCGTGACGCACATTTCGCAATCGACAGCCACAATTTTAAGGTGTGTCTTCTTTTTCTTGCTCTTTGTAGTGACCCAGCCAGGTTCGTCTTCCGGGAAGGAGAAGAGCTTCTCGAAGCGCTCGCTCTGCTGAGTCAACTGCACTAGCTGCTCCCACTCGGCGTCCGTCACGTCGTAGCCCACGTCTCCATCGGGTGCCAGTAGTTTGTTCATCACATCTATGGCCGTGACTGTAGCCTTGTACACGCGCTGCTTCTTGGTAGCAGCGGCATCTTCCTGCTCGACCTGAAGCTTGCGCTTGAGCACGCCGCGCATCACAGCCGGCGTCGCCATCGCCGCAGTCAATAGTGCCGTTTCACGGCCAGTCAGAGACAAGATAGTCCGCGATTGGTTAAAAACGATGTATTTGATGTTGTGTACACCAAATTGGTTGCTAAATATCGAGATGTCACTTCAAAGGTCCAAGATGTTGCGCAAGAGCATGCTGGACGTGACACAGCGGGCGACGGAGTCGCAAGCGCTCAAGAAACTCACGGCAGGCTACGAGCTGCTACCGGCGTCGGAGCACGGTATCCGCTACATTTTGTGGGCTGCGGACCCCACACACAACAAACCCAAGCCAGTGGAAATCAAGGATTCCAAATCCAAGGAGTTCCGAAATCCCTTCGCAAAGGAGAACCTGGAGCAAGATCTGTTCGTGACGCAGCTGCACGGCACGCACAACCTCGTGCTCAACAAGTTTAACGTCGTGGACGAACATGTCGTGCTGCCTACCATTGAGTTCGCACCCCAGGAGCAGCCTCTGGACGCCGCCGACTTCCGCGCCATGTGGACGGCCATGCGGGGCCTCGACGCCTTCGCCTTCTTTAACTGCGGCTTTGAGAGCGGCGCCAGGTATTGCAGCGAATGGAGATTAGCTAAGTCAAATACGGTGGGAGTGGCAGTACTAACATGCTTGCTGTTTTTGACCGTAGCCAACCGCACAAGCACATGCAACTCATGACGTATCCGTCCATGAAGACCATCACCGGGCTCGACATGGTAACAATCCCATATCGAGCTCTTCCTTATCCAGTCCAGAAGCTTACATAATGTACGTCTATGTCTTATTAGCCGCCGCTGCTGCACTTTATCGACCAGAAGCTGCGCGAGTACCCGACGACTGAGACCGTTCAACTTCCGGAGCTTCCATTCTGCCACTACCTCCATCGCATCGACCTTGCCGACAACATTGACAGTGAGAAGGCTGCGGCACACATCGTTGCTACCTACGACAAGGTCCTCCAACAAATGAACAGCGCAGAGTATCCGAAGTCGGCAACTTCATTGACGCCGACGTCGCTGCCTGTGGCCTACAACCTGCTGCTGACATCGTCGTTCCTCTTCATGATCCCGAGGAAAGCCCAAAGCTTCAACAGCATCGAAGTGAACTCGATCGGCTTCATCGGGTCCTTTTTCGTGCGTAACAACGAGCAGCGCGTCTTCTTTGAGACGAACGGTGGGCCTATGGAACTGCTGCGTCAAGTGACGTTCCCACCGGCCAAATAGACGTTCTAAAACGTATTTTGAAAACTAGATTGAAAAAAAAAAATGCAAAATGGGTTTTCGTGTTTATAACGTTGCACTTTGTTCAAGTGAAAAATTTATCGCCTTGCACCCTTTTGCACGCTGCATGGGCCAAAGGCTAATACATCACGTCGTCGAATAAATAAAATAGTGAGAGACACCTGATGTCTCTCCTCTGTGGCTCTGAAGGCGGTGAACCCCTTCATTCGTGATCCGTGGATCCAGAAGCCACAGGCTGGTCTCGGCTGGGAAAGACACAGGCATTTACACGCCGATACCCGAGCCAAAAGTCTCAAGGGTGTGCGCCTTCCAGCCGTCCAGACTCATGTGACGGTTCCTCGAGCGTAGGAGCAGGTCCATTTGGTTTGAGAATGACTCCTCCACCTCGAGGAAGGCCATGACGTCCTGCAGGAATCGGCACTCCGGGTGCCATGAGCCAGGCTGCATGCGGTGCAGGATGGCAAAGATGATGTGGAGGAAGTTGTTCATTTCCTGCTGGCGCTTCGTGATGTCCGCCTCGCTTTCTCCCAGACTGAGGAAAGGCATCCGCGTGAACTTGAGTCGCTCCAGGAAGCTGCGCGTCACGTCAAAGGGACAACCATTGGCGCCCTCACATCGGCACTTGCCGCTGCGTCCAGAGAGCAGCAGCGACGGGTTGTGGAGGCTACCGACACGGGCAAGAAGTGACTTGCGAAAGCGGCGAAAGTCGTCGAAGGAGCGTGCCACGAGCTGGCAGGACTCACGCTCGTCCGAGAAGGCGCGACGACTAGGAATGAGCGTCTCCACGGACACGACGAAGCTCAGGTTCTTGCGCGGGCCTTCGAAGTGGGAGACCGAGGCCGACAGCTTCTTGAGGATCTGCACGTCCACTTTGTTATCGGTTCTGGGGGCACGCTCGATAGTAGCGTGTGACGCGCGGTGGTGGTACATTTCGCCGTCGTTGGCGACAGTGGCGCGGCGCGTGACGGACTGAGGCGAAAGCGACGGCTGCAGCGCCGAGACGTTCATATTCGAGTGGCTTTGCGCGTTCATCATGTTCCAGTGGCTCTGCGCGTTCATCATGGCGGGCTGACTGTGATTCTGGCGGCAGGTTAACGACTGGCAAGTGGTTAAAGCTCCTTCGGGTTGTTGCGGAAAGTTTGCCAGCGCGGGAGAATCAAAATGGCAAACGCACTAGGAAACCGATCGAGTTGCGACAAATCGAGAAATGAAGGCTCGCTGTTCTTGACCGGGAAATCGCCAGTGGCTCTCGCCGTCTTTTTGCAAATTTATGCAATGTGCCACAGTGCCTAAAATTCGCGTAGAGGACGGGCAATAACCCAAAAAGGAGAAACAGCTGAGGACTTTATTCGAAGTTTGTAAGAGGCCGGATTTCGCAAATGGGAACCTCAAGGAAATGAGCACGATTCCATCGAAATAAATGAATCGGATATAGGTATTGGCTCTCCAAAATGGACCAGTAGGGCGTCCAGCGCGAAACATACTCCACCTGGAAGGTGTGTTATGTCCCTTGATTGTTGGAACCTTGTTTTGTCGCTGGCTTCGCTGATTTGAGCGCTTTAGATTATCCGACCTCTTCCACGCCGTCGGCCGAAATAAGCAACACGGCGTTTGAAGGTGACTGAGGTACTGAGATATGTCAAATAGATTTGAATCTTGGAGAGCTGAGTCAGAGAGTGGCGTCATCAGCTTGGATATCTTCACATATCTCAGTACTTTTATCTGAATTATGGGTGTACACAATTCCCTGCAGACGCGGCGTGCTAAACGCCAAAGGCGTGGGAAGGCCGAGACTTTCGAGCATCTCTGGGCCCAGCTGCCTCGCCAGGCTCATCGATTCGATGATCAAAGCTCGAGTTGAGTGGCCCGCAGCAAGTTGCTGTCAGCAGCGGGCATGTATACGCATTGTGGCGCTCATTCCGACGAGCGTAGAGTGGAAAAACGTTTGTGACTGGGCGGCCAGAATCGTGTTGTGGCTATGTTGATGCAGAACTTTAAAATGGAGAACCATTGCAAGTACCACCGCGTTTGCAGCTCCGTATAGGATACGTAACACCGTCCATGGTGGGCGTTTTGGTCCAGACGCGACACGGTCCAGTTCAAATGTCGATGAGGGAAGTACTGGCGTCTTCCGCCCCGCTCATCTCATTCACTGAACGATTCACATTACGCACGCACCCAAGCAGAACCTTTGTGGCCGATTGTCGCGACCCTCTTGCGCTCTACAGCGAGAGCTCCGCCGGCTCTGGACGGAAGCTGCCAATGGCGCGCATTTACGGAGCAGACTCGAAGCCAGCGCGAGCAGCGTGTCCGCATCGAGGTCGTTCGATCGAAGCGGAAAAACCGCCATATTCATGGTGATTGCGCTCGCAACCACACATACAATCGTCCATACTAATCCAGCTCTGAGAAAAAGATCTCCAAAAAGGCAACTTCAACCACGTCGGGCAAAAGTTTGCCCGCAAGTCTCGGTCGCCCGATCGCGCCAAATAAGATTGTTGCGCCCTTTCGAGATCGATCGAGTCGAGCGCGATTTGCAGCGTGCTCGTGCTCCTGGCTGCAGCGGCTGGAATCCCGTCCTGTGCAAGCGTAATGCCCTTGAGCGAGCGCCAAGATAGCGGCAGGGCCGTGCTCTCGCCGAGACCGGCGCCTCGCAAGACTGACGCCGTGGTGGTTGTGGCGCAGGAGGCGCTGGCCTCTGCAGCGTTGGGCTGGCAGGAGCGCGCTGAGCGGCTAGCGGAGTCCAACACGCGACTAAAGACCCGCCTGGCTGAGGTTGAAGAAGCTCATCGCAAGTACGTCGGCGCGACTAGCGAGTGTCATGTGGGAGTGTTGATCGTGGTGAATGCTGTTGCTTTGCGTGTTGCTAGGTCGCTGACCGTCGTCAAGAACGTCCCAGCACTGCCGAACAACCACGTGTTTACCAAGCAGCTCGTAGACGAGAACCACGCGCTGCGTCAAGAAACGCGAGTCTTGCAACGACGGCTCATGCAGGTGTGTTTGTAGCTGGGCTGTACGTTTGTTCCAGTGTTAATTGTACTTGGTTGCACGCTTGCGACCGCAAGTTTGAGGGTCCTGGTTCTAAGAAGCATCGAAACTTGGTTAACAAAACGCCACACTCTACAAAGCACAAGAGCATTCGCAAAACCAAGTCAAAACCTGCTACAGCAGTCCTCGAGGAAGAAGACAACGATAAACAAAAGACGGAAGCCTACGACAACCAAACCAAACCAAAGAGTGCACCGGCAATTGACCCAAGCGAACTAGCGCAGCATCCACTACTGCAACAGCTCAAATCGCACTTGCTGGACCTGGAAGTAGACTTGGATAGGTTGAAACGGGAGAATGAGCTACTGCGAACAGAGCTCGATGAATACCATGCGATCAAAAAACCTGCTGAGAAGAAGATGCTATCCCAAAACGATAAGAACGATACCATTACTGAAGAGGATCAGGAGCTACGCGCGAGTGTGGATACACTACTCCAGCAGGTGAAAGTGCTGGAGGCGCGCTATCAGCATCTTGAAGAAAAAGCACGAGCCAAGACTGCTCTCTACTGTGAAACCACCTCTCGTTTAGAAGAAGTTACGACGCAGTTGTTTGAGGCCCAGCAGCAGCTCTCAGCACAGGCAGAGAAACTCCAGGTATATTCTGACCAAACTGCGCATTTGGACGACTTGCAGCAAGAAGTTCACCTTCTGCGGAAAGAGAATATGAAGTTGAACGAGACCATCGCAGCGCTCAGTTCTCGCCCTTTCGATGCGCTGTCCAATGACTTACAGAAGAAGAATCTATGGATCTCACAGCTTGAAGAAGAGAAGCGCGTTCTAGAGGAGGATCGAGCGAGGTTTCAGGCGGATTGTTTAGCCACGAGACGGACGAACGACCAATTGCGGCATCGGGTCGAGACTATGACGGACGAGGTGAAAGAACTCGCCAATGAACTGAATCAGGCTACGGCTGAGTGTGAGCAAATGGCAATGGAGAAGGAGGTGGCGCTGCTCCAGCTTCGCTTCTACACGGCGCCAGGCGACTACGACGTGATGAGCGCAGTCGGCAAAGCGATCAAAGACATGAAGAAGCAGCAGCAAGCCAAACGTAATGCTGAAGTTGAGGAAACATCAAAAATGTAGAGGAAAATTGCCCTGGGGATAGCAAATGTGTGCAAATGTGTGCAAATGTTGAGTCGACAAGCTGATTCTGTTGATGATACCAAGTTGAAGTGGTTACCCGCTTTTCAGCCAATCAGTAGGCTGAATACCAAGCAGCAAACTCATCACTTCACGATTGTCGCCCTTGCCCGATGATCTTTACGTCTCGCCACCCGACGCTGCCTATTCCTGAGGACGCGGCGATCTGGAATGTGGTAGAGCAGCACGCACGCAATATTGGCGACAAGCCGGCGTTTGTCTGCGGCGTGACGGAGCGGACGATCTCGTACGCGCAGCTGCTCCGCATGGCCAAGAAGCTGTGCGCAGGTTTCGCTGCCAACGGCCTCAAGAAGGGCGACGTACGTGCAACTGGGAGGCTGAAAGAATACAATTGAAGTGACAAACTACTAATATTGACGTGGTGTAGATTGTGATCTTGCACTCGATGAACTGCATCGAGTACCCGGTGATCTTTTTGGCTCTGAATCGACTAGGAGCGATATGCTCGCCGTCCTCTCCTCAGTTCACAGCGCAAGAACTGGCTAATCAGATCGAAGCAGCTCAAGTATGTCTCGAATATTTGAACTGTGGTTGTTACAGTACAAACTGACGAGTTTTGCAGGCTGTGGCAGTGATTTCGCACAAGAAATTTGCAGCGGTGGCTATGAAGGCTGCTACAGTGCACGGAATTTCAAGCGACCAAGTGTACACGATTGGAGATGCTTCCTTGCAGACAATCGAGTACGTTTACATCTCTCCTAGCCTTAAACTCGCCTTCTAACAACTCCTTTTTCGGTATCAGACATCTGATTGAGCTGGATCTGCCCTTCCCGGACCTCCCTCCGATCGATCCGAACCAAATTGTGACGTTGCCCTTTTCCAGTGGCACAACTGGTCGTCCGAAGGGAGTGGAGCTAACAGCTCGTGCAATGTTCGCCGCGGGGATGATACCTGCCTATACAGTGGAGAAGATGGATTATCTTTTGGGCATGCTGCCATTCTTCCACATCATGGCCACTTTGATCTTCCACATCAGCCTGTACATGGGGATGTCGATGGTCGTGTTGCCGGGTTTCCAGCCAGACTCACTGTTGCGCACAGCAGAGAAGTACAAAATCAAACGACTCCATCTCGCTCCTCCGCTCATCAAGTTCCTCGCCAAACATCCGCTCGTAGCCAAGTACGATCTTTCAGCGACAACCCAAGCCAGTTCTGGCGGTGCACCAATGGGGATAGAACTGGAGCAAGCCGTTTTGAAGCGTCTTAACATACAGGTTCTTCAGAGTTACGGTATGACGGAGATTGCTGGCGTTGGAACGCACTCTTCCATCAGTTGCCACCGTGAAGGCTCGTCAGGAACGCTGTATCCCAATGTGGAACTCAAGGTGAAATGTCTGGAGACGGGTGCTGATCTGCCCGCAAACAAACACGGTGAGTTGCTCTTTCGAGGCCCGACGTTAATGAAGAGATATTTCAACAATCCAGTGGCGACGCGCGAGTCTTTTACTGAGGACGGGTTTCTCCGCACGGGAGATATCGGATATATCGATGACGATGGCTTTGTGTTCATCGTAGACCGACTGAAGGAGCTTATTAAGTACAAAGGACATCAAGTCGCACCTGCAGAAGTGGAGGACGTGGTGAACTCTCACCCTCAAGTGGCAGATTCAGGTTGTGTACGCGGTCACGATCTGGTGACAGGAGAGGAGATTCCAAAGATTTACGTCGTGCTGGTAGAGGGAAGCGCGTTGACTGCAGAAGAGCTGATGGAGTATGTAGCAATGAAAGTGACGGGGTACAAGCGCGTCCGCGAGGTGGAATTTATCGATAGTATTCCAAAGAGCTTGTCGGGTAAGATACTGCGACGTGTGCTTCAGATGCGGGAGAACGAGAAGATGCGAGCTTCTCTAAGTCGTCTGTAGTCGTGCAGATGAAATCTGGTATTTGGTTTTCCATTATTGCTAGGTTGTCACTACGCTACACTGAAGTCGTTCATTTCACTCATCGTTTTCATTGAGGAGACCCAGTCTGCGAATTGCTGCGAGTTGGTCTGTTCGATAGACGTCATGTTAGCACTAAGCGGCAATGTACCAAGAAGAAAATATACCTGGAATATGTGCCAGCGCTGCAATCGCCAGACCTAAAGCTGGTTGTTCGGGGTTTTCACACATGACGTGGTTGAAATTGACGAAGTGGAAGTTCTCGAAATTACGCTTAGGCAAAGTGGACTTGTACTGTTCCATCTCTTCCCATGGGCCATCACCAACGCCAACCACAATAATTGCTGTTGCATTTTCACACGCCGTTCGAAAAATTAAATGTGAGAAACTGCAAAAAAAAAAAAAAAATGACAACTTCTTGGGCTGAGCATACACAATGCATATCTGGAGGCTTCAACAATGGCTTGAGATGTTTCTTTCTTACTTGTAACCTGGCCGTCTATTGCTCACGACCACGTTAGCCTTATCGACAAGAACACTAGGCAAGTATGATGCATTTTTACCTGCGATGATGACGAGTATCTGGCACTTCTCACTCGCTTTGACTTGACAAATTGCGTGATAAATTATGGGGGCGAAGTTGGTGGGTCCTCCGAGCACGAGCTCAGGGGTAATCTCCTTATACCGCTTTAGTACGTGCTCCACACCTCGGCATGGGCTTCCGTCGGGAAGAAATGTGAACACACATTGATCAGCCGTACGAGAATCACCGAAACCAAATACGTGAATTGGCTTCTTGCTCTTGCGTGAATGCAGAGTGCGGCCGATGATGTTGATAACAATCTGCGGTGTATACAATAGTTAGCTTTAAAGCTGTTCTCTCGAGTACACCAAGTTGGCTCACCTGGTACGGATTGAGAATCGATCCTGTTGGATCAATGAAGTGCAAGCTACGTCCGCCGAGCGAAAGCTTGCCATTCCACTAGCACAAACAAGTAAGTATCTCGATCCCTATCACCACCCTAGTAAAACTCTATGTAATACCGTATTTGAGCGTGTGAAGTCGATCTGCGTCGATGTTCACCCGAACAAGTCTTAGCAAACTCCATCATCTGTCCAGATGGTCATAGTTCTACTTACGCCAATGATGAGATTAGTCGAGCGCAGTCCACTCCATCTAAGACGTTATTAACCACGTGGCTCAGGGCAAATTGAAAGCTCTACATTGTTGCAGTGCACCAACCTCAACGCACCCCGCAGCTCTCCTGTTCAAGTTAAACGGATGGCAGTCAGCTTCAATCACTTCAACAACAGGTCAGTTTGCTTACCTAAGGACTGGAACGCAGTGTCTTGCCACTCACCCTGTCGTTCCGTACTAGCGGTACAACCCATGACTTAATCTCGAGGGCGAAGAAGAAAAAATGTCATGGAGCTGGATGCTTTTCAGCTGATCGCTTCAAGGACCTGCTGCACGAAGAACGTTTGTTCTGAGATGCATTTTAACACTCTCGTTGAGCATGTACGGTTCGAGTGCACCGAGAAGCATGTGCAAACAATTCTCCTTTGTTGATCAAGTTGCATGATTCAGTTCGGAGGTCCAACTCAGGGAGTTGTCGGACGAGAAGAAATGCACACGTTGAATGATACAAATGATCCTTCGTCGTCATCATAAGAAGAACCTGTGTATATTATCACAGTCTACTCTTTGGACTCCTCGACGCTCTCAGCGTCGTCCTTGCCGAAAAAGTCCTGCCTATTCGCGTCGCTAGCTACTGGGATCCGGTCCCCTGTCGGAGGGATCTCGACGTGCGGTGGGTACATCCATACAGCCACGACCAGCTTTCGCACGGGTAAGGGGCGATACTTCCCTGACGGATCGGCAGTGCTTGGCACACGTCCACTAGTCGATTGACTGTCTCCATTGTCGCTCTGTACACGCTGCAGGACACTGGGGAGACCCGGCTCTTCGGCCACTTGCCATTGCACCGTCACGTCCGGCAGCTCGAGCGTGTGCGTGCCGTCCTTGGCCTTGGCCTTGATGAGCTGGTCCAACTGGCGGAGATCATCCATCTCACGCATTATCGACTGGAAGGCTTCGTCCTCGTCCAGCAGCTCCAGCACACGCTACCAGCTACAACATGAGACCATCTTTCTACAGCTGCACTAGAATTATGCCCCACCTGCACCGCTTTATCCGCTCCAGAGCCATTCCTGCCATTGAAATGAGCTAAATCCTGCTCCCTCACATTCACATTAAGCGTAATTGCATGTAGCCGCTCGTCATTGCCACTACGAGCCTTGAGCACGAAGGTGTTCCGTTCACGAAGCATTATAAGAAATTTAGAAATGGCTGCTTCGATATCAATTAGAAATGGCTACTTCGTACTTTGTCGAATGCGTATCTGAGACGTGCGTCACCAGCTCCTCTTTTTGGTCATCATTCGCAGACATCCGTCATGCTGTCGCCGTTGCCGCGTACGCCGGGCTTCCACCGCCCTTCCTTCTCGTACGATGCCGAGATCCCTCTAGAAGAGCAGCGCGAGGGGAGCGTGAAAAGTGCTGTCAAGGAGGCGCAGGAGGAGACGCAGGCCTGCTGGTTGTTCGCGCTCGTGGGTGTGGGCTACCTCTTCCCCTTCTCGGCGCTCACACAGCCTGTGGACTACTGGAACTTCCTCTTTCCGGACTACAACATCGAGTTCGCATTGACTTCCACCTTCATGTACACCAACCTCGTCTTCTTGGGCATCATCGTCGTCGTGTTTGGTAAACCCTGGTACAATGGCCGCATCGTTGGAGGCTTCATGGGGCAGCTCTTGGTGCTGGCGTTTGTGCCTACTTCCTACTTCTTCCTCACGTCCGAGAACGCCAATGCCTTTGCAGTACTGGGTGGCACCGCGGTGGCCTCCATAGCCACTGCATTCATTGACAGTTCCACCATCGCGCTGGTATCGCACTATCCCCAACGGGTACAGGAGAGTTTCCAGCTTGGAGTTGGACTCAGTACGCTCATCGGCAGTCTCTACCGAGACCTGACCAAGCTCGTCTTCCCGGCTAACGAATTATTAGCGTCTTCGCTCATTTACTTCTATACAGGAGCGCTCACTATTGCGCTCTGTATTGGGGCATTCTACAAGGTCATGTCGCTCAAGATCACTAAGAAATACTTACTCCGCAAGGCAGATAGCAGCGTGGAGCTTACCGAGCGCTCACCGCTGCTTACAGAGAAGCGACAGTCGGATAGCGACTCGTTCAGTGTCACTGGCCCTGCTCCGACCAAGTGGACGGTGTTGAAGAAGGTGTGGCACTTGGAGGCGCTGATCTTGATGGTCTTCCTCGCTAGTCTGTCAGTCTGGCCACCACTCGTCACGGAAATCAAGACGTTCAACTTCCCGTCGCTACAGGAGAGTGGCTGGTGGTCACTGATCCTGCTCACACTCTTCTCGATCAGTGACTGTGTCGGACGATTCATTGTGAACCATCGCTTTGGCCTCACACCCAGCAACATTTGGATCCCGATCATGGCCCGGTTCATCTTAGTTCCGATCATTATCGGCATCGTCAAAGAGTGGTGGCTGCAGAGTGACATTTGGTCGGTGCTCAGTGTGTTGATTCTCGGGTTTGGAAATGGCTACCTGGGGACACTGACCATCATCTTCGTAAGTGAAAGCGTCCACAGTGACGAGCAGCACCTTATTGGCCCCTTTACGAGCTTCTTCCTGAACTCTGGTCTTGTATTGGGATCGACAGTGGGTCTTGTGCTGGAGAAAGTTGTGCTGGGATAACTGGTTAAAAAATGTAACATTATGTTACGCGGAATTTCCTGAAGTTGTGAGGGTCTCTTCGAGTTGATGTTTCGGTCGTTTGGCTCTGTTCTTTTTCTTTACAGTCTTGGGTTTCTTTGATAGGACTGGTTGTTGCTGGAACGTGTAGGACTGCGGTCCGTCAGCTATCGAGGGATCCCAAAAGCGGATTGCAATGGCTTCGACAGTGTACTGGACGTCGTGGAAGCTGTACACACCGAATGTGAGGTCGGCTGGGCTGTCTTCACTGCCCGTTATTTCAGCAGTCACAGTACACAGCAGCACGGTCTTCTTGACATCTGCCGCTATCCTGGTGAGTGACTGGATGGTGTTCCACGACGAAGCTTCATCCTGCACGTATACAATGTATTCGGAATGAAATTCTGTGGCTGAGCCTCGATACAATACGTAGTGCGCTCCGTAGTTAAGTCCAGACTTTGGAATCCAGTCGAGGTGTCGAAAATGCTGGTAGACTATGAAGTTCCTCACGAAAGCCACACTCAAGCTGCGTAACAATCGATCAGCACCTCCAGACCTCGAATATTCCCAATCAATTGGCAACTTTACCTGTTAAACCGCTCCCACAATTCTCGTAATGGTTCATCAATTGGTAAAAGACCGTTGATCACTGCGTAGTATGTTTCTGGCAGTGACAAGTGGCGCCTCCTCTTGGTCTCCATTGTGTCATTCCCGCTAGTAACCAACTCATTTGACTCCTTTCCAACCGTTTCCAGCGACACTGGCGACGTGCTCAACGCTGTAATACCAAGCCCTGTCTTCTGGAAATCCTTCCGCGCCTCGTTATCTTCCGCTTCGAACGTCACCTCCGTCTCCAGTCCATTTCCCAGCACTTGCCAAGTCACCATTTAAACCTGTAACAAATTCTCAATAAGAATTATTTCCAACCAGAATATAACAATAGGGGCTTAACGTCACATTTGTAGCAATCATGGCGACAAGACCTGTTCCAGTGCACGTGGTGCTGCCGGCGTCGTCGCTGGCCCGCTCGCCCTCGCTCGAAGACGACATCAAGCCCGACATCGAGCGCCTGCATCGATCTTTCGGCTGTGAACTTATCCAGGAGGCTGGCGTGTTATTGCGCCTTCCACAGGTGGTGATGGCCACAGCCCAGACGCTGCTCCAGCGCTTCTATTATCGCAAGTCATTACGCCAATTCGACGCCTTCCGCGTTGCCGTGAGCTGCCTCTTCTTGGCCGCTAAAGTGGAGGAGAAACCCAAGCGTATTAAGGACGTAGTCGGCGTCTTCTACGCCATGTTCCGACGCCGCAAGTGGCAGCGGTCAACCGTCTCTCAACAGCTCGTGGACTTGGACGGCGCTACCTTCAGCCAGTGGCGTATGTGGCTTATCATGGTAGAGCGCCAAGTGCTCATTGATCTAGGCTTCAGTATCTACAGTGTCACGGAACATCCACACAAGTACGTGCTGTACTATGTCAAGGTACTGGATGGCAGCTCTGCGCTCGCACAACAAGCCTGGGGCTACATCAACGACAGTCTACGCACTGATCTCTGTGTGCGATACAAAGCTCAAGTCATTGCCTGTGCTGCCATCTTCTTGGCTAGCAGATTTCAAGGTGTGGCGCTGCCTGAGAACCCGCCCTGGTACTTGCTATTTGATGTGGACAAGACCCAGCTCTATGCGGTTAGTGTAGTGATCATGGAACTGTACAAACAGGAGAAGATTCAGTGGCTAGAGCCATTGACAGAGACTAATCCGTTCGAGGTGGATGACCACCCAATGGAAGAGGAAGAAGAAGTGGTGGAACAAGTGCAAGAGACTGACATGGACGTGAAAGTCGACGTGGAGAAGGTTTCTCCTCAAGAACCCGCATCGTTTTCGACCGAGGAGACAGCGGTGAAAGCTTCGAATTCGGCCGCGAAGGCTTCTGAACGACGCAGCCGATGGGACGATGGTCGGCGTGGTCGCAGTAGAAGTCCGGATTCCCGCTCCAGACGCTCTCGTAGTGGATCACGCGAACGTCGACGCGACTCATCTCGCAGCCGTCGACGACGCAGTCGTAGTCGATCAAGAAGTAGTCGAAGCCGAAGACGTCGCAGTCGAAGTCGAAGTTACGAGCGCCACAGACGTAGGTAGTATCATTGTTAACGGATGTCAACACCAGGAATCCATAGAATGCATCCATGATTTACTGAGACGTAAAAAGTTTGAAATGTGTCGGGACTCTCACTGTCCAGCTGAAACAATGAACCAGCCTTCTTGACTTCCAGAAGACACACGAAATGGTCGTCCTTTTGAAAGAGATAATCAGCTTTTCCATGAGTTTATTCTCTCGCCATTGGTCTCTGAACGATGACCCCATGCACAACTGGCGCTGCGAGTTCTCCCATTGTATCGATAATGCTCACGAAGAAGGCAAACGCGTCTCTTGCTCGCTCATATAGCTGCACCATACAACGAGCCTCCACCGAAGTCATGTTGATGAGATCCAACGAAGACTTTAAAACATCAGATATTTGCCACCAGGTATGCCTCGAGTACTTGGTCCATTAGATGTTACTACTGATTGTTAATAGTTAAGGATACCTCAGTGATGATTTCAGCAGCAGCGTGGCAACCTACAAAAGAAAAACCTTGTTGAGCACAAAACTGTTTTACTGGATGACAGCGTGTTCTTACCAGATAAGTATGCGGCTTGAAGAGCACCCTGGTGTTCATAATTTGTAGCTTCCCCAGCGAAAAATACGCGACTAGCAACAGGTTGGCGCAGTAAGTCTGGGTCTTCGTAAGTGCTATCCACAGTGACGCTGCTATAGGCACCTCGTGCCCACTCATCTTGATCCCATCTACTTATAAGATCACAATAATTCTCTGTAAGTGGCAATTAAGTGTGCCATAAGCTGACAGACTTAAACATCGTACCTCGTGATCAAGTTGCCAACAGGTTCCGGAATGTCAATACCAAACATGCCTTGCAACTGTAGGAATAACGCACGTGCGATCTCATCGTCGGAAAGTGTCTTGGAGATCGCTTCAGCTTTATCCCCAATGAGGTCACCTTCGAGAATAGGCACCCCCTTGACCCCGTAGTAGCTGAAGATCACCGGGAAATAAACACGATCGATCTCAGATCCAGTGGTGTCGCTAATTTGAGTGATGAACGAGGCGTTCTTGGGCCAGAAAGCTTCGGGGAACTGCACCATGACTTTCATACACTGGCCCATTTGTGATCGAGAGATAGCATCAACCTTCGAAACTGGCAGTTCGGGATAAAACTGGAGCTTTCCCGACTTGAGGAAGCCCAACGAGCACGTCACCACTACACGATCAGCCTTCACCTCGCTCCCATCAATGCACTTGATGACCACAGTATTAGTGTCTTCGTAATTTACCGAGGCGACGCAAGAGTTAGTGCGAATCATATTTTTCAATGGAGCAGAGAGATGCTTAAGAAAACTTTCCATTCCTGCAGGAACCAAACAATGAGCACCAGGATCATCTCTACAGATAAAACACCAACGGATTCATTAGTATCGTAACACTAATCAAGAGCGTTAACAAGTCTCACCCCATGAGATCGATCTCCCCGAATGCGTCGATCTGCATTTCGTGACTCTCACTTCCCATCCACGTCTCAACAAGATGCAGACACAGCGCTAACCTCTCACGAGCATTGGTCGAAGACACCACAACCTCCCGTAGTTCTTTATCTTCCATTAAAATCCCGTCCACCACCACATCCAGAGTTTTGCCTTCCACTTCTCCCGATAACGCCAGCTCCTGGATCTTATGAAGCAGAAGATCTTGCCATTCCCACGTCTCCTTCACTTCTTCTTCACTCAACAGTCTGTTACCCTCGTAGATCAAGAAACCTGGACATGAACTGGGATGAAGCCACGGGTTGCGAGCGCTGACCTCCTCCAGTTCGATACCAAATTTCTGGGCCAATTCAACCATCGGGTTCCCTTCTGTTCCATGAATCCACGCAGCCCCCGCTTCCACCTTAACCGGCAGCTCGTCACTAAACACTCGAGTATGGATCCGTCCACCGATACGCTTCTGGGCCTCCAGCACGCAGATATCTTCGAGCTTAAAGCGGTTCGACGCCAACAAGGCGCTCGCAGTGGCCACGCCTGCCATCCCGGCGCCGATGACCACCACTTGATACTCACTCATCTACAGGAAGCGACTGGCTATGCAGCCAAACGTCCCTCCCGGATTTGATTGTGACAAATTGAAGAACTTTACAAGACGATGGAACTACCCGAAGACGCCTACGAAGACGAGTTAATTGACGCCTTCGACGCCCCAGAGTCTGAGGCCCCGACGCCTACGAAGCCTCCCGCCACTTCACCGCCGTTTAATAGCGTTAATATTGGACAACCGATACGTCCGAAGGTTCAGGAATCTCTGTACCCGACGTTTAATGACACGCTTAAGAAATCAGAAGCTCCTATCGTGCAGCCGTCTAAGGCGAATAGCGTCGGTATTAAAGAGATACAGCAGCACAGTTTCCCACCTCCGCTTGTTCAAGTGTATCGGGAGGAAGAGTTGATGTCGGAGGAGGAATTACATAGAAAACAGCAGCAGATTGAGCGAGATATGCGAGTGTATCAAGAGCGGTTTGATCATGTGGCAAAAGCTCTGGCGGGGGAAACTGCTCATCAGATTCGGGAGCGCAAGAAGCGCGAGGTGGAACGACTGGAGCGACAGGAAAAGCGGCACGAGGCCATGGAGACGCGCTTGCAGCATCAGATTGAGAGATTAGAGGAGAGAGAAGAGCGACGAGCTCGAATTCAAGCGAGGCACCACCGAACGAGCAGAAGCCCGTCTCCTAGTAGTGATCACGAGGATTTAGACGTCTTAGCAGAGGATAATGGACATGACAAACAAGAATAAAGACGGCAACATTCACAACTTGGATGGTAACCAAGAGACCTAGTGAACGGCTAAGGCAACGACAGGGGCTTCGTTTCGCGAACGAGGTACGCGTAGGTATCCGGATCGTCCTTCAACAGAGGCTGCAGCTTGTCGTGGACCTCTTTGTGGTACGCGTTAAGCCACTTGATCTCCTCGGGCGTGAGAAGACTCGCGTCGATGAGTTTCTGCTGAATTGGAGCCATGGTGAGCGTCTCAAACTCGCAGAAATCGCGGTTAAGCGGACTCTTGATGTGATGAGCCTGGCAAAGATACAGTAGTTAAATATACGAAGCCAGAACCACGGAAATATACACGACTTACCTTCTTGACAACCATCACGCTTTCAATACGGATGCCAAACTTGCCGTCTTCATAGTATCCAGGCTCGTTACTGAGGACCATGCCGTCCTGAATCTTCAGTCCGTTCGGGTTCAAGCGGAACGACATCAACTAAAATAATTTAAAAAAAAAGTTAAATAAAAAAGTTCCGTAAAATGACTCGGCATCTAGTTACTTACCACACCCTTTTCGTGTACGTTGAGGAATGCACCCACACCATGGCCCGTTCCGTGACGGTAGTCCAGACCAGCTTTCCACAATGGTGCACGCGTAATAGCGTCGAGTTTGACGCCTTCCATCTTGTCCGGGAAGACAGTGCTGGCAAGAGCAATATGCCCCTTCAGCACGTGAGTAAAGCAAGACTTTTCATACGCAGTAGGCTGTCCGAAATGCAGCGTCCGAGTCACATCGGTCGTGCCGTCCAAGTACTGAGCTCCAGAGTCGTTCAGGTACATGGCAGACGTCGACATTTTGGAACATTCTCCACGTTTCGGCGAATAGTGGATGATGGATCCATTAGCGCCGATCGACGAGATGGTGTCGAAACTCAGTGACACGTAGTCTTTCGCTTGGCTACGGAATTGTTCCTGCTTGTCAGCGACGAGAACTTCGTCCCATTGGTCCTCATTGCCAGCGTCCATCTCCTTTTCCAACCAGCTGAAGTACTTGACAAGCGCAGCACCGTCACGCAGGTGTGCCTGACGCATTCCTTCAATCTCCACAGCACTCTTAATAGCCTTCTGGGCCATAACCACGGACGTATCTTCCTTACGGTTTGCAGCGGGGATGGCTAGAAACACAGCGACGTTGCACTGCGCAGGGTCCACCAGAATCTTTGTATCCTTGTTTGATGCAGTTAATGCCGATACCTCCTTCAACATACTCGAGTAGGGTTTGCATTCTACACCGCTAGGACGCAAGTGCTGCGTCACATCGTCCTGATTGGCTGCGTCCAAGAACAAAGTCGCTTTATCCGGCGTCACAACCGCGTATGACGTACTGTAAACAGCAAATAAACAATTAAAAAATTAGCTTATTTAGTAGTGAACATTGCAGTTGGATCACTCACACGACGGGGTTGAACTCGACGTCATTGCCACGGATGTTAAAGAGCCACGCGATGTCGTCCAGAGCCGTGAGCACGATGGCGTCTGCTCCCTTGTCCTTCACTGCTTCTCTCAAACTCTTAAGCTTGTCTGCAACTGAGCGTCCAGTATACTCGTCGGAGAGGAAAGTCACTTGCGACGGAGCTACAGCTGGACGGTCCTCCCAAACGAGATCCACGAGGTTCTCGGTCTCATGCAGAGCCACCAGCTCGATCTTCGTCTCTTTAAGCACTTTGGCGAAGTTTCGAGCCGCCAATACAGACGTCAAGTACGGGTCAATGGCCAGGCAGCTGTCGTTAGGCAGATTCTTTTTAGTCCACTGCTCGATGGAAGGAACACCCGGTTCCTCGCTCTTCATGAGCGTCCAGTCGTCGCTCAGCTCCTGTTCCGCCTGTAAGAAATAGCGGCCATCCGTCCACATAAACGCTTGATCGGGTGTCACCAGTGCGGTACCATTGGAGCCCGTAAAGCCCGTGAGGAACTCGCGTCGCTTATGCGCATCTCCAACATATTCGCTCTGATGCGCGTCCGCTGTGTCGACTAGGAAAGCTTGCAATGGCCGACCTGTGAGCTCCGACGCTGCCCCTTTCTCCGTCTTGCCCAGGAGATGGCGAAGGGGCAGCAGACGCACGTTCGTGCGGCTCATAAGCACGCGCAGCTCTCGTAGCTTCTCGGCTGGCAGCATGATCCAATTCACTTCAAATACTATTCTAATGCAAAAAAAATAGGGAGACACAAAATGGGACAATAAATAGGTCTTGCCTTTTCTTCCTAGCCCAAATACTGCGCGGTAGTAACTTCAACTTGGTTATGACACTGTGCACGAGGTTTTAGAGTGGTCTCGGGGTGTCAGAATTTGGTCTTTAGCCTGTGGATACGGCATCGTTTCCGGCTCGTGCTCTATACTCCACCCCGTACGCAGCGCGATCTCTTCGGCTAGTACTTTGGCGATCTTAACGTGACCGCTGACTGCGTAATGCATCATGGACGCATAGTCCTCTTTCTCAAGCCCCTCTTCCACCTGTCATCAACAGATCTTAGTAATAATATTCAGCCGATTAATTTATGCAATACTGTTCGTACCTTGATGAAGGCGTAGTGCATCTTGTTGTCGTGTTTGCTAACCTTGGAGATGGCTACCTTGATGATCTCCTGGAGCTGTAATGACACAAACTTCCGGTTCGTTTCCGAGTCTTCTGAGCTCATGCAGCCGTCGTCGTAGACTACGCAGAAGATATGTGCGTCCGGGCGGTCTATTTAGATGAATAAAAACGGTAATGTCAGTACATTATTTTTTTTTTCATTTTTTCCACCTCATCAAATACTTACAAGAGCGCACTTCCAGCAAAAACGTCGCGTAGCCCGTAATAATGTCCGTCTCCGCGGATGCAGGAGGCGATAAATCGTTGATACCAAGGTTGATCACCACGACGTCAGGTATCCAGCTGGCCATATCCCAGTCTCCCGGTCGGGATGCAAGTGTACTTTTCCACAAGGCCGGCATGTTGGGCCCCCAATCTGCAGAGTTGCTGTGTACGCCCTTACTTTACAGGCACAATAACAAAACGTGTGAATTGAGTTAGAAAAAAAACTTAGTGAAGCTCAGTTTAAACGGCATATTTACCCGCTCCACGCCAGCACATGCTCTTCAGCATCAAACATACGCGCTGTAATACATGCGTAGCCATTGTAGACGTTTTCCATGCGTCCCTTCATACCGAACAAGTTCTTCGCACTGCTAGCCTTGCCTTCGTTGCCAAAGCCACACGTATCCGAATCGCCAATAAACTCCATTTTCCGTACGGGTTGAGGCTCTGGCTGATCCACAGGAAGAACCTCTGCTTTTTCCTCGACAATAAATCCGTAAAATGTACAAACCTGTAGCCAGATACCAGCAAAATAGCGAGAAGAGTTGTTAAAATCCACAATTTCAACCGCTGCGCTCAGACAGTGATCCTTACCTTAAACGTAGACATCGCTCCTCGCATTTGCGGCTCTGTCCGCTTGCAAATTCGGATCGTATACTCCGTCTCGGCGTCCAAATCCGCCGCCACTGTAAAAAAAATAACGTTAGTAAAATATACCAAAGAACTTCTTTCAGAAGTTCTTTATCTCACCATCGCAGCAGGTTGCGTTTAGTGATGCGCGGAGGATACAACGCAGTTCATTGTTCACAAAAACGTTAAAGTAGTTGCCTGGAGCACAAAAACAAATAACGTCAGAGCCATCCAGTGACCAAAAACAGCAGTTTTGGTCGATTGGCGGGGCGTCGGACCAAAAATGAGTTCAGAGCGTGGCATGTCTTCAACCGGTCACTTGACCTCATTGAATCAAACCAGTCACACTTGATAACTCAGCGATCTTTCTCTCCCGCCTCATGCCAATCAATCTGACGCCGTCAACATTGCGCCCTTGTAGCTACGTGAATAACCTACCATCGCCTTTGAGTCGAATTGCGACGCTGCTGGTGCCTCGTACTGAGATCTGGAAGGCCACAGCGGGCCAGTCGAACTGCACCGTGTTGATTTTCGTCTTCCGAGCGGACTGCGCGCCGTGGTGCAGCAGGCGGCCCGTGTACTTAATGAGGTCACGCGCACAAGCTGGCACGAACCGGAAGGAGCCGTCCTTGTACTGCGCTACGTCGAACTTGTACACGTTGGGCGAGGTGTCTGTGGGCTCGTCATCGTCGCCCACCGACGTTCCACGTGAGATGGCGAGTACGCGCGTTTCTGTCATGCTCGCAGGCGGGTGGGAACTGAGAAGCAGCGATGCCAACGCAGTCAGCGGAGGACTGTTGTCGTCCCGGCTGCCCCCGCTGTCCAACCGGGACGTGCGGCGCCGAGCGAGCCAGCGCCCGCGCGAAGACGCAGGCGGTTCCTCCTCCATTTGCTCCTGGTGCATTCTTACTCAGGTCAAAGAAAGCAGTAAGATAGGTCCTGTGATAAAGCATATCATGTCGCGTCGATAATTGCACACGAGAAAGTGCAAAAACTGCAAAATGGGTGTGTCATCCCTCCTATCACTTGCTAGAGTAACAAAAAGATTATGTCGCTCGGATGGTTGACGTCTTGGCGTGAGCTATGAGACGGGCACTCCTACATGGGTACACTTTATCTTGACTCGAGCTCTGCACTGCAGTCAGCCAGCATGATGCTGCAACCATTGGACAATGCTCGGAGATGTTTCTGTAGCAGCATAGCTCCGGTTAGTCTATTGCAGCCGCTACTAAATAACCCGTTAAGTACTTGCCTTGGCGTCAGGCCACCGGTTCTTGGACAACTCCAATATGCGCAAGTTCCGGTATTCATCCCATGTAGCCTGTAGCATGTATAACTGAGCCGTAAACGATAAAACTCAAGTAAAATAGCATCACCTACCACATCTGCCTGCTTCTGAGCGACCTCCTTCTCGCTCCGATACTTGGGGGCAGCATCGAACAGCTCGCTGATCACTTCAGACTGTAGATCCATCTCTTGCAGCCGCATGTGGTCGAAGAGCAACACTTCTACCAGTGACTCTGCCACCACGCTGCATTTGGATGACGAGTGTGTAGGATCGAGGAATCTCGACTCGCCAAACACAGCAGGGGCTACACATTTCTGGACCAGAGCGTTCTTATCGTTGGATGAAAGCTTGTCTTTCAGACGACGCATGGGCAGCGACATGGTTAGTGGTGGGGCTGTGCTTAGAGATCTCACGACTGGAGGCGTTTGAGAGAGCATCAAGCCATCGCGACGTCCACGACGGTATTTGCGAGCCCGTGTACGAGCTTGGAAACCCAGTGGCCAGTCAGGTTTCGCGATAAGGCGGTGGAATGGCGGAGGACCTTTATCGTCTTCATCTTGATCGCGCCGACTTCCTCCAGGACCTTCACTATCACTACTGTCCGAATCACTATCGTCTTCATCGTCCTCATTCCATCCGTCAAAATTGGCACTGCGTCTCAATTTCCGACGACTTAGTGGTGCATTATCAAAGTCCTGGAAAACGGAGCAGCTTCCCTTCCACAAGACTATGAGGTGTCTTGGCTGCTCATTCTGTTCGAGCAGAACATCACCTTTGCGGAATCGTTTCCTCTCTGATATCCCTACAACGTGACCGAGTTCACTTGTAGTGAGCAGACGGAAACCACGTAGTTGTTGTAAGAAGGCGAAGATGTCTTGGTTCATTTGCGACGTCACTGCACGGATCGTCGCTGCGTAGTCACCTGGCCATAGAATTCCGATTTCAGCACACTCGTCCGCGATAAGAGATGCCTGGGCGGATATCGTGAAGCCTGCACACCCGAAAACTGAGCCAGTCCCAAGGTGGTGAGTTGTCACTGTTGAGCCGAAATCAGTAGTTCCGACACGTCTACGGATACTGAGTCTTCCTCCTAGCAGCACGTAGAAATTCTGCGAATGAGCCTCTCCAAGTACAAAGCTTTTCCCACATGCTACTACATCGTAGTCCAGTGCTTGTGCTACTTGAAAGAGCATTTCATGTGAAAAATCTTGGAAAAATAATAACGTTTGTAGTCTCGCTACAATGGCACTGAGCATCTCGAGTGAACGTTCTGTTGATGGACATGCCAATGCTAATTTATCAGGTGTGGGCTTGCCAAAGAGATGCGCGAATAGTCCGTCTTCCAAGTCACATTTGCTGAGTCCTCTGGTTGGCAATACACTCCGAGGAACCGAGGATGAATTGGTACCTCGCTTAGTAAGGGTACTTCCAGTGCTAGCCGTGTGAGTCCCCGAAGCGACTTCACGCTTGCAATATTCATCTTGTGCTTCAACAAACTGTCCCATGCGCCGATACATTAGTCCGCGGTTCTGCAAATACTTGTCATTCTGTGGATCAAGCGTCAAGGCCTGCGTAAGTGCTTCTAGTGCAAGAGCATCTTTGCCAAGTTTGAGTCTGGCAACACTGAGATTGAAGTGAGCTTCGTGCATTGACGGATCAAGCTGCAAGCACGCGAGGAACTCTGTTTCAGCTCGAACATGTTCCCCTCGAGCGTCGTAAAGAGCTCCTCGAAGCAGTCTTGCCAGCTTCTCAAGCGTTGAATTCGGGGTCCGTAGCGCACGGTCGCAATGCAAAAGCGCTTCATCTAGACGCTGTTCACAGTACAGCATGTACGCTTTCCCCACGATGAGATCTCGACCTTGTGCACGTGGATCGATAACGACGCAGTGGTTCAGTAGAGGGTCTTGAGGCACAGGTCCAGGTGGTCCGGAGATATGCACTCGTTCATAAAGATGTCGATCGATTCTTGTCTGTAGTTCTTGAGGGCGTGTGTAGATCAGTTGGCTCACCTGCTTTGGAGAAGGCAAAGGAGGGATTTTCTTCTTTACTTGTGTTGTTCGTCCAGTAGAGCCGAAGGACGGTGAAATGCACGTGGTTAATGGTGTATCTGGTCTACCTGGAGATGTGGAGCTAACGTCGATATCAACACCAAGGACAGAGTGTGGAGCAGACGCGAGATTTGCTTGGAGCGTCTCGCGTTGACGAAGACACTGCTTGCGTTGGTTCAGGCTAAGCTCCAATAGCATTCCTGGTCGATCGAACTTGACTGAGCTTGGTCGAGTGTTTGGCACTTCGGTTGTTGGCAGTCGCTTGGATCCAGTAGCTGAGCCTGGTGGGGTCGCTCGTGTCTTATTAGCGGCTTGGTTGTCAGCTTGCGGCTTCCGACTTGGAGATTTCTCATCCTGTGTCGACTGGGTCGCTGTTCCGCGGCATCGAGTGAGTTCATTTTGTGCAACCGTAAGTGAACGCAAAAGTTTGGCGATGCGTTGTGTCATGATGTCGGGTGCAAGTCCTTGTTCAAAGTAGCCACAGATTCCTCCTTGCTGAAGTGCACGTGCCAGCAACTTCTGTGCCTCATGATCGGTATTGAAAGAGGAGTCTACCAGCGCTGCAACGGGTGTTCGGAAACAACTACGCTTCATTTCTCGTAAAAACGCGAGTGCTGGACTAGTAGATGCAGTTTGATCATTGCCGATATCTAGACGTAGCAGGATAAAATTCACCTGGAAAAGCCCTAGCAGTGCGAAGGCCCGTTCGTTGCTGGGCGCTACGAAGATTTCGAAGCGCTGTTCGAGCTCGTCAGCCAGGTTTTCTCGTCGTAACATATCTGGATCCACCAGCATTATCCGATAATGACTTCCAGTGAAGGGGTCTATAACCACAGTCCGTTGGTCGAGTCCGTGCTGGAAACCTCGCGTGCGCCGGTCGACCTGCATGGCGCGATTTTTCTTGACTTTGGTCAGAAATCGCTTGCCAGCGGTGGTAAACTGCGTGTTAAAGATCGCCTCACTGGGACGCGGCTTTTGTTGGACTTGCGCATTCGATGTCGAGGCTTTACGAGGGGCTTTTGACGCATTAACACCTGCTCCTACCTTGGCGACAAGCGCGCCGACCATCATGATGATGAAGTTCGATCGATGCACAGACTGTGAACAATTAATTAAGAGCCTTATTTCAAGGTCGAAACCAAGAATAGGCAACACCTTACATGTAGCATTGATAGTAGTAGGAGAGATAACTAGGCCAAATAATCGGTCTTCGTAAACACCCACAGGAAGATATTGTAGCTGCAAAGTTCTTCGCTTCTACCTTAGGTGTGCGGATTTTTCTCGAGTAATTGACGGATTTGTTTCGAGTACTTGTATTCGAGTAATAATTCCAATAAGGATTTGCTACTACCAGGAGTAATCTACCGAGTAAACTAAAAACATTGGCTAGTCGTGTCGTTAAACCCCTGTTGACCGCTTCCGCCAGTTTGCTGTTCCGACGCCTGTGCAGCACCTTGATATCCTCTGGGATACAGGAGGGATATACATCCTGATACAGATACACTGTGATACACGTGCTACCATGTTTGTCGCCCAAAATGACACCTCAGAGACTTCGAGCCAGAATAAGAGCAACCGACAGGTCTTCCTTGAAAAACATCGGAGGCTATCTACATAATCTCATTGCATATTTCATGCTCGACAAACCTCCGTTTATATCGCTTACTTGTAGGTGATCCAACATTCACTTGAAATTATTCTTTTCCATAAAGATGTATTCTGTTTTTGGTAATATCTTTAAGGTTCCTGAAAGCCCATTCAGATCTCACTAAGTTGCTTCATTATCGTGGTCGGTGGCGTTTATATCCTCGATATTGAGCATGAACGTTCCGTCGCCACAAAACTTGTCGTGAAGCCACGCGCCAGCGTAGCAAGTGCTATCTGGTACCGTGTAGCGGCCGGTGCCATGACGCACATCGTTGAGCCAGTCACCTTCGTACTCGCACCCATTGGCGTATTTGCATACCCCGTGACCGCAACGTACACCACCTACCCATTTGCCGTCATAGTGCGCCCGAGTTCGAACGTCGTCAAACACCCCAAAGCCATTCCGTCGACCATTGCGCCACTCTCCGCAGTAAACAGACCCGTCACGCAGCGTAGCAACCCCGTGTCCAGAACGACTCCCGGTTATCCAGCTGCCCTTGTACACCTCGCCAGACACGTGGTGGCTTTCACCTTGACCGTGCGGCACACCATCACACACTTCGCCTTCATATCGGCAGATACCATTCTGACCGTCTTCGTATCCTTCAATGCAACTTCGTTCGCGAGTATCGAGAACATCATCGACCCATGAGCCCACGAGTTTTGTTCCATTCGAGAACGTAAGTGTTCCTGTGCCATGCTTTCGATCGTGCATCCATTGACCTTCGTATTTTTTCGGTTGTCGCTGGTGAGCTCCACTATAGGAGTCTGGCAAATGAAACTCATAGATCCCGTAGCCGTGGCGCTGATCGTTCTCCCACAGGCCAGCGTACATATTTTGGCTACTAGCGTAGCGCATGACACCTTGTCCACAGCGCTGATCATCTCGCCAATCACCATCGTACTCGTCTCCATTGGCATACGAACACTTGCCTTTGCCGTGACGCTGCTTCTGATCTGCGTTCATTTCTCCAACATACACGTCTCCATTACTCAAAGTCTTCGTTTTAACCGGGTTTTCATCCGCTTGTCGCTGAGCTTCTTCTGCCTCACTAGGAAAATCTGCCGGTGTCTTCCAGAAATCCAATGCTGTCGTTGAGTCAAGAAATGACTGTGGTTGTCCAGGATCCGGTATTGGAATGCCACCAAACAGGAAGAATCCTCGGTTATCTGGACGTATCGCTATGCCGTGGCCCATGCAACTCTTAATTCCAGCCGCTGGCAGATGTACCTCACGGATACGTGCATGTTGAGGCTCAAGGATGATCATTGATGATGAACATAGTGCAGGTTCATACTTGGAGAAGCCTCCAAAGATCACAATTGCCTCCTGGGGGTTGCAAGATTTGTCGCCCGGTTCACTGTCCTTGATTCTACGAATCAGCCCTGTTTCTTCGTCGATTGGGAGTTGTAAGGCTAGCGCTGTAGCGCAACACCGTGCAGTGAGGACACGAGGTATGAGGCTGCTTTCAGGATTTTCGCCTGGTATTGTGATGGCATTCCACGTGTTGGCGACTAAATCCAAGACGTGGATCGACGAATTCATTGATAATTTTCGTGTGCCTCCAAGAACCACGACCTTATCTCCTCCACCAATTGTAACAGCATTATGGTACGCCAACGGTAGTGGACTGTTACCAGTAGGCTGCATTCACAGTAACAGTTAGCAAAAAGGTGCAGTCAAATGTTGCGTTGGGGTGTAGCACGTACCGAGAGCTGCTGCCAGCGTGGCTTGTGTCCTGGAGTATTCACTGTCAGCATCCAGATATCCGACAAAGTTGCACCTTTAGAATTCTTTCCTCCGAGGACGAGAATGCCTTGAGTAGGCGGGCTTTCTGGGTCGCTAGTAGTTTCTCGATATACAACTGCAGCACTGGCATGCCACGCTCGCTCGCTTGGAGCAGGTAAAGGTGGAATAGTAGGATCTGTGCCATCTCCACTGATCGGAGTGATATCAATGCAGTATAGGACGTCTTCCTCGTAGCTGATCTCGAACATGTCGCCTATGAGCCCGTTCAGTGAAACCTCGAAGCCAACGCTCGGATCTAGTGGCTCACCGCCAAAGGTGTAGGCTTTCTTGTCCAGCGTGACCACAGAGTGGCCGATACGGTGAGTGAGCTCCCCGTGGACATCGTACCCAGTGAGCCATTTGGTAGTGTTCAAGTCAAACAAATCCAGTCGTGATACGCTCGTGAAGCTCTCACTTGGCAATTCTTCTTTGCCTCCAACAATCACAGCGCTATTGACAAGCAAAAATGCAGGAATTATTATGTGATACACTTTTCAAGAAGACACAAAAACTTTTCCTACATGTGGCCATTTAGGATTCCTGTGCAGGCTCCAGACAAGCTGTAACTCTCGTGGGGCTCTCGGTGCTTCCTCTCTAGTGTTCGAGATACGTGGATGCCCCACGATGTGAAATTATGAGACTTGACAACACGAGTCAG